ATGAAACTGACCGGAAACAGGATCATGAAACGGAAAAGACATTAGTGGAATAACTGGTGAAATCAAATAAAGTCTGCAGGTTGCTACTAACATTGATGTTAACTTATTAGTTTTGATCACTATACTACGGCCAGACAAGATGTTAACAAAAGGGAAAGCTGAGTGTATATGAGCTACTAGAAAGAGTACAAAAATATGTGTACTATTTTGCAACTCTTAAGCAAGCCCAAATTTACTTCAAAACAGAAAGCTAAAATAAAAAGTGTAATTATAGTTTATAGTAACCATAGTTTTTATCTACTTACCTGGGAGTAATCAAGAAAAAGAAAAGAGAGCTGAGCATCTCCTTTTCTAGCAGGAAAGGGGACAGCCAGAGCGACCTGAATGTCAGTGACCAGAAAGGAGACAATGGGACAGGCAATGACCAGCCCTCCAGCAGAACACCCCCATGTACCTCAGGCCACAGAAGCAATGTCATAATCTTTTTTACTCAGTTCATTTTGGGGGTGTGTTTTCTAAACTTGGTGTCCTAACTTAAAATTACAGGTATGAATAATACCTACATATTGTTTTTTCTCCTGATGATGCATTTCAAAGAGGAGACTTTGGGACTCTGGCTCATTTGAAATATTTCTCGTAGAGGAATTGAGATTGGATTGGGGTGAATGTGAGCTGACTGCTACTGAATCCAAAATCTGATACACTGTGAGTTCAGGAGAGGCAGACAAGTGAGATGCTCTAATGGAGAGCAGTAGGGCTTCAGGCAATCAGCTAGGATGAGGCCTTCTAAATGTTCTCCCTCTGTGTAAGGTTCAAGGCCCTAGAGCTAAGTTGGGCCATGCAGTGATAAAGCAGGCAGCGTGCAATGCAGACATTCTCATATTAATCCGGGGATCCAGAGCTCCAGTGGCTTGGCCAACTGTTCTGATCTTAGGCGAGTCACTTAGAGCTCTGGGCCTGTCACCTCCTTGTAAAGTAGGAACTGGGGCTGGGATGCATGCTTCCCCTGTATTATTATCTAGTTCCTCTGAAGGACAGGTAGTGATAACACTATTGTAGGGGAGCTAAGACTTCTGGGAGGCTCATTACATGCCAGACTCTGTATTAAATGTTCTCTTCATACTCACAAGCCTGTAAGGCCAAGTACTATCATTATTTCATCTGCCAGGGAGGAAATGGAGGTTTCGAAATGTTGAGTGACCATGAAAAGCTGAGATCCCAACCCAGGCAGCTTGCCTCAAGAGCACACACCTTAACCAATGAGCCAGCTGCTGCCCAACTCCTGTTGCTCCAAGACTACACAAAGGACAGGCACCATCTGACTACGCCCTGGCCAGTGTGCCCTGATGGCTAATCATTGGGTTTGGTCGGATACCAAGTTACTTGATATAAATGAAATCATTTCATTCTCACATTACTCTAAGAGGTGGATATTATTATGAACATGTAGATTTCTGGTGATTTGCTCAAGGTTACATAGCTACCAGGTGACGAAACAGGGTCTTCAACCCCAGTGTCTGTTTCTGACTCCAAAGCCATATTCTTTCCACTTTATTGACTGAAGAGGTCAAATGTGATTTCAGATGCTCTCTTAGAATCAGTCCTCCTGAAGAAACGTGACATCTATAAACATGATATGGTATGGGGCCACTGTGGTATGGGGCCTACAGATGACCATCCTGCTATAATTCCTGCTAAGGGACCTTTGTTCTCAGCAGGGCCCTAGCCTTCCAATCATGAGTCTAGAGCAGACATCCTATTATCCTCCCCCACCCTGTCCCCTTAGATTTCTCTGCACTAGAATGGCTTATCCCTGCCCTCTGCCGCCTGGACAGCTTTTGTCACAAGTTCAGGGGATTGGCGTCAGCACTGCCTTGCTAAGTTTCAGATGCAGAATAATATGCTTTCACACGTCTCCACTAACCTAGTAATCTTATCAAAACAGGATACACATTTATGTGGCAAAAGCTGTCCTCACAGAGCCTACCTCCTGCTGGCCCCAGGTTCTTCTCTAAGTTCTCGAGACATCTGCTTTATTTAAATATATATGTAAATACACATAACTCATACATAAGTAAATATTTATATACACATACATACCATTTATACACACCACATACATATACATACCATATGTATGCACATATAGTGTGTGTATATTTATGTATATATTATATACACCCTATAATAGGAACATCAACAGTTATAACTGAATAAGGGGCTTGGGGGAGGACGAAGGGGAAGGAGTAGAATGGGAATATGGGTCTCTAGAACATTTTCTTCCTAACATTTTCCTCAATACTGGACTTTCAAACAGCCACAAAGAATCATCCAGTGCCTCCTGGATGTTGGGCAATTATTCTCTGTTACATATATTGTTTTTCATTTTTAATTTATTTTTGTTTTTTTCAAATTATAAGAGAAAGTTTATTTAGAAAGTTACAGATGTAGTAGAAATGAACCAGCTGGGCTGTGTAGGCTCTGGAAACAAGTTACAGAAGGAAAAGAAGGGCCTTTGGAGCTTGGGAAAGTGGAAAGCAAAGGTAGTGTGCCTGGCCGGGAAAAGTGGGGGATGGGAAAGGCAATGGCTCCTGTTTCCCACAAAGCACTCAGCCTCCTTTGGGATGGCCTCACATTAACTTGTTACTGCTACATTCATATTTAGTAGTTAAGTATTTTTTTATTTTTTAAAGATTTTACATATTTATTTTAGAGAGATGGGGAAGGGAAGGAGAAAGAGAGGGAGTGAAACATCAATGTGTGGTTGCCTCTAGCACACCCCATACTGGGAATATGGCCTGCAACCCAGGCATGTTCCCTGACTGGGAATCAAACCGGTGATGCTTTGTTCACAGGTCTGCGCTCAATCCACTGAGCTACATCAGCCAGAGCCAGTAGTTAAGTATTTTTTAATAAAGAAAAACGGGTCAGGTTTGCCACAGAAGAGATGAGTTGTAAAGTATGGGCTAAAATATTCAGCAGGATCCAAACACCTGGCCACAAGTGATTAATGTATTTCTAATGAGCACTGGATTCAGTCCAAGATGAAGATGCTTATCTCATTAGGTACAATTTCCTAGAGTTTTCTTAAAGGATCACAAATGTTTAATATTAGCATGAAGGAGTGAGCAATAATAACAAATTTATTTTTTCCTGAACAGAAATGCTAGTTGCAAATCAGGTCTAGAAAACTTAGCATTTTTTAAAACAGCAGCTGGACCTGTTTAATGTGAGAATGGACCCTTACAAATCCCTGTGATTGGAGTGTCAGGCAGAGGCTGAAGCAGCCTGGGAGCCTGCAGTGGTGTACACAGTCCTCCTGCTGACAGGATGACAGCTGCCAGAGGCAGACAGTGGAGGAGAAAGGTGAGGGTTACCACCCGATTTCTTTGCAAAATGCATATACTCTGACATGCACAGCAAATTGAGATCAAGACCCACAAGGAATCTAACTCCAGAATAAAACATTCATTGGGTTAACAATTCCAGCTGACTCTTGAACAGTACAGGTTAGCACTGTGTGGATCCACTTGTACATGAATTCTTTAAAAATAAATATATGGTTGAAAACAATATTTTTAATCTGCTGTTGGGAATCCACAGATTCGGAGGGCCAACTGTATGCATAGTCTGTGCCATTTTATATAAGGGACTTAATACCAAGGATTTTGGTATCTGTGGGGACAACTATAGTTAAGTTGTGGGGAAATTTAAAATCAGATTTCCCCCTCTGCAAAGTCGACTGGCAGGGTTAGGGCTGGAACCCACAGCTCTGTGCTCACCACCACCATGGAGCAGATACCCTGGAGCCTGGGAAGGGTTAGCTGTAGACAGACTCCCAATGAGTCCCGTCAAGGCTGTTTCTAGTGCCACACACCAAAGAAGAGGCTACTCTAGTGACTGCTGAGGCAGGCACAAATAGAAGGAAAAAGGAAGCAGCTGGCCAGATGTTCCTTCCTAGCTGACCATAGTGCTGGAATCTTCTGGCTGACCAACAGGGAGAATCAAGTCCATGAGGAGGGCATAGAAGTAGTGGGCACCCACAGGCCCCTCCATGTCCTGAGTTCTGACTCCAGGTAAGTCAGCTCACACTGCAGAGGACCCGTTCCTTGCACACTTCTCTCAGTGCCTTAACCTGTCACTACAATCACTTCTGCAGCTCCTTCCCTCAGAAGGACAGGTGCTGGCCCACCAGCACTTCATCAGGGATTAAACCCTAGCACTCAATACAGTCATTCTCATTAAGAAGCACTGTGTGAACCCCTATTTCCAGCAGCCAGGAAGGGCCCCCAGAGTGGCCTGCAGACCTTTTGAGAATCACCCAAAAGGCCATGAGAACAGAAATAATGACAGCTCAGACAACCGGAAGGACAGCTTCTGTCTTTAGAGTCATCCCCATTTTACAAACAGGGAGGCAAGATGAAAACACAACTTCCACCTGCACCTCTAGGCCAATGAAAGGGCAAATCGCACGGGGGAGGCAGATTCCAGGGAGTAGGGGCGAGATCTCTGCCCCTCCTCTCCAACACACCCAGCCCAGTATCCAGGTTCAGGGCAACAAGTCGGGCCTGAACGTGACCCAGAATTTGAGCTCTGAAATCCCAAGAGCTTCAGGAAACATCAATTACAGAGATAAAACAGGTCCATACAAGGGGTGGAAGAACAAGGGGCGCAGGGGCATATTCCTGTCCAGCTTCACCCTCCAGAAAAACCAACAGCCTACCCCCAAACAAGGGTTAGTTCTCAAATCTTCCCCACACACACACCCACTCCCTCCTCACACGTCAAAACATCCACACCCAGACCCCACACTCGGACACATCTGCCCACACAAGTGCACACTTGTGCACCCGGACCCCCACACTTGCACACCTGTCCCGCATTTGACAGGCACTTGACCCCCACGCATTCTGAGCCCGCGCGCGCGCACACACACACCGGCCCACTCACAATCCCCCAGGTACCCACACTCGCCCGCCCTCAACCCTACCGGTCCTCACCCTCCAGCCCCTTTCCGTGCACTCTTGGTAGCGCGCCCCACAACTGGCAGCCCGCCGCCCTCCTCACTGACCCGCGCAGCGTCCGTTGGCCTCTGCCGTCACGCTGGCCCTGCAGCCTGGGCCCAGCGCCGCTGGCCACCAGCTCCCGGCTGAGGCTCTAGGGCTGGTCCGGCCGAGCCGCTGCCGCCGCTTCCCGTCACGTGGGGCGACCGCCCTGCGCCGGGAGGGCGGGAGCCGTAAGTCCCTGCGCCATAGTCCGGGGCTCCCGCCACCTCCCGGGTGCCCCTGGGATTTAACAAATTCCGTTCCCAGCCCAGCGACCAATAGGGCCCCCCTCTAGGCCTCCGTTTCCTCCTAAGGGGTCACAACAGTGCCGGCCTATTGGGGCGGTTGTGGGGAGTAAATGAGTGTATTGCTGTAAATTACCGAGAAAACTGGCACAGAGTAGGTGTTCGAGAAGTGTTAGTGATAACGGCTTAATGTATTTTTTCCTTCCCCACCGGCGAGGTACAGCTTCATGAAAACATGGGCTATGTCTGATTTGCTCACTACTCTTACTTCTAATACCAAAACAATCTAGACATAGTGTAGGCACCGGGGAAATACTTGCTGAAAGAATGAATGAACCAACTACCGACCAACCCTGGGAAAATCTTAACTACTCTGCCTCTCATTCAGCTTGAGATGCTAACTCGCTGGTGGTGCTCCCTATGACACTGAAATGTAGTGTTAGGCAGCTAATCGCTCACTGGTCGGGGCCTAAAATCCACCACACTCGTCGCAGAGGTAACACCTACTGACTGCCAGACCCTGGGCTAAAGGGCTTATAGCAATGATGTCATTTAAGCCTCCCTAGCTCCTTATGAAGTAAGCGCTATTAATCTCTCCATTTCATAGATGAGTTGACCTGTGTACACTATCCCTTCTGGAAACATTTGTTCTTCCTGGAACTATCTGAGAAGTCTATTTAACATATGACAGGAACCTATATATAAATAATTATTCCATAACTTGGAAAATATCTGCATCAGGGCTAATTCTAAATTCCTCATGTTGTTTCAAGTGATTACCCTTGAGAAGAAATATCGGTCATGTTTTTCAAAGGAATGTTTAATTAACTTCTTTTATTGATATTTATTAAATATCCCTTGGGTCCATACTAAACACATTGGGTATTTTATAGAATGTGAAAAAGATGTGTTCTAGTAGATTATTTAAGATTAAGAGTTGAACAGAGACAACTGAATGCTTTTAATAGTTACCATCTACTCTCAAAACATAATCTCCTCACACATACATTTAAGGTTCCTCACTGGCTGTAAGCTCTTAAGGTGTCTATCAAGTTTCGTTGTATCTATCTGCACAAAGGAAACAACCAATATTTAAAATTCCTGATACTCAAAATTAATAAATTAGGCTATCTTTAAGAGTCTTTTATGCTAAGATTTGGTTACTCTATAAACTCTCTTGTTAAAAATACACATCTAGCTTGGATATCAGTTTAGAATATGAGATTAAGCAAATAAGGTTACATTTATGATTTTTTTAGCAAACATAGCTTACTAGAAGCCATGTTTTGTTTTTATATGCTTTAGCTCATTTAATAATATATACACATATTCATATACTTGTAATCTAGATTCAGTAGAATAAACTTTTCAACTGTTCTTCAATCAACTATTTCTTGAGCAGCTCCTATGTGCCAGGTGCTATGGCTGAGGTTGCTGGGTATACTGAAATGAGCACACTGCCCCTGTCCTTGAGCCACTTAATTTAGTTCAGAGATTTATAAAGCATGATCAGTAATGGGCAGTACCAAAATCACCTTGGAAGTTGTTACAAATGCAAATTCCTGTGCTCCTATCCAAACCTACTAAGTCAGGAACTTGGGGATGAGGAGGGGTGGAACCCAGCACAATGTTTTTTACAAGCTGTCCATATGACTCTAAGACTCACTGAGTTTTGAGAATCACTGATTTCGTGGGATATGTAGAAGAAATACCCTCCTAACCATATCCTAAGGTAAAATATAATATGCTCCTGAGGTCTAATGACAGGAGAGGTCAGTTAGGAAGTACCTGAGGATCTGGAAAGGTTTAGTGATATTCATTCATCACACACTTACTGTTCTTACACTGTGTACAGGCACTATGCTAGGTGCTGAGAACACAGAGGTGTAAGACACTGAAGCAGCTCATTAAACAAGTGTCCTGAGATGGGCTTTACAAGAAAGCCAGTAGGTAGTTTAAGCATGTAAATACATCTTTATGGACAGATTGTAAAAGGAATGAGAAATTACAATAACAAACATAATCATTAATCATTATTATGGTACTGAAGGTAGTTATTTAAAACTCAAAGTAGAACTGTTGTCTTAAATACCTAAAAACACAGATTTAAAACGTGAAGTGTGAAGTGTTTAAATTGTTACATTCATGTTGAAACTCTTTGATTTATGCTCAGGTATATTTTTGACAATAATACAATATTTGTGACAAACATCTTAAATATTACACTATGGACAAGAGAAATCAACATCCAAAGTTCTCAGTATATATTTCACTTATGATTCATTCAATAAATGTTTACTGAGTACCTACTAAGTACAAGCCCTTACTGTGTACGCCAGTGATGAGATGTGAGATAAGAAGCAAATGTATGGCCCCTGATACCAGGCAAGGCAGTTGGTTGGTTTCCCTCAGCTTTGTTCTTGTCAACAATAAGCACCAAATAAAATAAAAATAAATAAAAATGTTAATGATTAAAACCCCATGATCTTTGAGGGGAAAACTCTCATAATCCTGAACTTAAAAATGTATGATCACTATGTAATACAGATAATACTGCAGCAGAAGTAAACTTCAGCCTATGAACTCAAAAGTGTAACAAATACATATTTTTTTTCCTGTAACTGAGCTGTATTTCTACTTTAAGCCCCCCCTTGGCTGCAATAAGAATAATCTTATCAATGGAGGCCTGCCTCCTTCTTTGGGGCTGTGTCTAGAATAGGGAGTTTCTGAACTGCGAAAGAGAGGATAAGTAGAAGATGACAGATCTTTGCATCACTGGTCCCCATAAGGATTCTAAGATGCTCTTCGTCCACCCTGGTGTTGGTTTTCAGTCTTGTTCCTGCAATCATGGTGACTGGCATGGCTTGAGGGTCTGTGGCTTCCTTGCTCTGCAATCTGGCAGTAAACTTGGTAAGTTGGCCCTGCTGCCTAGACATATTTGAAACATCACCTCAGAATTTGTTAGAAATGCCAATTCTCCCTCACCCCAAGTTCCTACCTCAGAAACACTGATTAAAACACTCAGCAGACTATCATACTCTGAGGCTGCACTCTCCAAGGTTCTACCCAGAATGGAGTGGGGGCAGGCATTCCCAGTCTCCCCTTCCTTTGGAGAGGTGGTGAAGGTTTTGGTATTACAATCTCATTCTACTTCTTCCTGTCTGAAATCTAATTTTTTCTGCCTCAGATGCCATTCCCTGATATTTTAGCATCAGAGATGCCCAGAATTATCTGAATGGATTTAGTTTTAAGCAGGAAGTACTTTTAGTTTTAACCTGGGAAGTTCTAAAAGAAAACCAAAGCACAGGTCTTATCTGCCACGAAACATTTTTGCTGGTCAAGAGCTTGGGGTTTCAAGCTAGGTGACTGGTCCAGAAAACCACAGCAAGAAGCTCTAACTGTATTTTTAGACTCTTAACCTCAAGTTCATTTTTCCCCCCACCTCCACCACCATCCTGCCACTTCTGTCCTTTAGTAAGTCAATAGGCTACAACAAATCTCCAGGTAAAGGCAACAGTGGAGGCACTGTTCATACTTTAGCTCCCATCTCACAATATTATGAGGTGGTGTTGTTTTCCATTCACAGGTGAGGAAGCTAAAGCAGGTTTGTAACAGTAGGGAACTGTAACTCACTCCACCATTCTTTTGACACTGTTTCTGTAGATAGATAGCATATTTGTATAAGAGTCCTAGGAGCTAACTTCAAAAGATACAGATTCCAAACTTCAAGCATCCCAGCTCTGGGAGATTTGCTGACTCCATGGAGCCAGGATGACTAAACCAAGAAGATGCACATCGGACCATCACTTACCCTATCAGAATGGACCGTGCTGGTCTGCAAACAGAGAATTTTTCAATTCCCTCCCTTGATCTTTGTTCTGCTTCCCCTTTCCCTTGTTATAAAAATTTGTCTGCACAGAGACATGATGATAGGCTTTGAGACAATAGTCCCCATCTTCCAGGTTGCCGGCACCTAAAAATAAACCACTTTCCTCTACATAAGCACCCATCTCTCTGTCAAGTACTGGCTTTCAAAGCAGCAGACAGCAGGAGCTGCATTTGGTTACAGGTTGACATGAAGTATTTCTCAGTACCAGCTGCCAGTTATTAAGCACCTAATCTGTGTCAAGTGTGTTATATAATCTTCACTCCTTTGAAAAGTCTTCACAGGTGTTAGCACAGCCTTCCTCTGATAAGGCTGAGGCTGAGACTTGAGTAACTCACCCAAGGTCTCAGTGCAGCAGTATAGACCTCTGAACTGAGGTCTGACTTCCAAGGTTCCTTGCAGCTGCTTTTGTCACTAAAACAATGTATGTGCCTTTTGGTGAAGGAAATAGGGATAATACCAGCCACGTTAACTAATGTCATGAAAATCAGATTTTAGATATGGAGTACCATGATGCTAATACCACAAAGTTAATACACTTAACGCCAAATTAGGACATCCAAATACCTGCCTCAGCTCAGTTCTGAAAGTCCAGCAAGTCATTAATCTTCAGATGTGCTTCCTCAGCACTAAAATGAAAGAACAGGACTGAGTAACCTTTAAGTTTCTGCCCTGCTCTCAAATTCAACTTCTAGATAAAGCATCATATACATATATAATTAAGAAAAATTGTAAAACACTTTCAACTTTATCTTGTCTTTTTGATTTAGTATTTCATCAAGGTTTACCTTTTGTCATCCTCATATGTTCACATTTTTGAAGACACTACAATAATTTCCAATGAAATGATACATGATAGAAGATGCAAATCACAAGCCTTTAGGACTGTCTGCAAGTTTAAGTTATAAACAGACAAAATATTTTGGGATGTATATCTTCTCCAAAAAGATGAAAGAATAGAAAAAGATTTTCAGTAATTAGATCAAATCTACTAGATTTTGTTTAAATAAAATGGTTACTTCATTGTAGTTACAAATGCGAATATACTTGAAAGTCAGTCTTGGTACGTCCTCAAAATTGCTACATGCCTCAGTAGCCTCATCTGAAAAGATAAGCATTCTAGAACTATGTATTTCATTGGGCTGTTCTGAGGAATGAAATAATCTATATAAAATGCAGGTTCTGCCACACAGTAAATGTCTAACAAACATTTTGACGTTGTCACCGCCATTCCGTCATTTATTTTCACACGTGAGCAGGTTCAGAGTATTAGTTTCAGGTAACTAATGCCTGAGTGCCTACAACGTGCTAGGGACCGAGAATTAAAGTCCGGGGCCTTACAGAAAATTAAAGGATTAGGAAGCAAACGATGAACAGGTTAAACAAAGAAAACGTAGCCAGTTTCAGAGGCGACAAAGCCGCGTAACGAGGTGGGTATTCCCTGCGTCTTGCTCCCGAGACTGTTCTCAGAATCCCTTTTGGACGTCACAAGAATCGCGACCAATCGTCGCCAGTCCCGTGAACTATGCTTTCTCCGCTACTCCTGCCAGACGTGAAATGCCACCAGTTTACTCGACTTAAACCCTTTCCTTTCTTCCAGCCGAGGAAATATGCCAGGAGAGGGAGCCTAGCCAACCCCTAGCCGTGCGTGGAGGAACGCACGCGCGGCTCACCTAGTGTGACGACACAATTGAGTCCTCGCCCAAACGTCACTTCCGGAACGCTTCCTTCGCGGAGCATTGTGGGTAGCTGCCGGGGTTTCCTGGCGACGACTATGGCGGGGGATGTGGGCGGCCGCAGCTGCACGAATTCGGAGTTGCTGCTGCATCCGGAGCTGCTGTCTCAGGAGTTCCTTCTCCTCACGCTGGAGCAGGTCGGGCTGGTGGGCGGGTGGGTCTGGTTGGAAGAGGTGCTTGGGTCGGAGTCAGCTCCAAGTCTCTCCTAGAGGCAGACACACCCGCAACCTACGCTCCTCCCGCCGGGTTTGTGTGACTTGTCCTGCCTACTGACCTAGTCCCCCCACGCCCCCATCCGGAAAAGAAACGTCTTTAGCGTATCAGGAATTCCTGGGAATTAGGGTCATCTTTTTGGGTTGTGGATGGCTCGCAAAGAGGAGTCTAGGAGATCCCAGTCTAGCGGCCTGTATGTAAGCAAGGGCCTGAGGAAGAGAGGGACTGGGGAAGAATCCAAGAAGAACGGAAATGAAGGGTAGTCATCGGGAACTGTTAGGGCTGCAAAGCATCGGGGAAATCCTCCATTTTGCACACTCTCACCTTGATTAAAGATGAGGAAACTGAGTCCCAGAGAGGTGAAGTGCCTTATTTAAGGCCACACCATCGGTAAATGCGGTAACTGATGTGGCCAGGAGGAGAATTCGGGATTCCGGGCTCTCAGTGTAGCGTTTGCACTTTTTCAGCTAATGTGGTCTCTGATAGTAGACAAAAATAGAAGACAAAAACTGATAAATTTTGTTTAAAGTGGTAGAGAATTACTGAACGTTTCCTTGGGGTTTTATGTAGCACGTTTTGGTTTTCTTGTGTTTTTCTTTCACTACCGTACTCTAATTTTATCAAGCCCCACTGCTAAGTCGATTATTTTAGTGATGTCAGTTACCTTTCACTTGTGTTTCTCAAACTTTTTAGGTACATCAGAGTCACCCAGGACTTCTTAAAACACATGTTGCTGGGCTTCATCCCCAGACTGTACCATTCATTAGATCTGGGGTGTGTCCTGAAAATCTGCATTTTTAAAAAGTTCTTACTGCTAGTTCAGGTACCACAGTTTGAGCACCTCTGCCCTTGAGCAGCGCTTCCCAAACTAACCTGCCAATGAATTCTTTGGGAACGTTGTCTAAGAGAACCTCCAGGGTTTCCATATATCTCTGAGTGAGTACAGGGTGAACATTGTTAGTACAGGATCATCTAGTATAAGAGAGAAACGTCGTAAAATTTGTGCTTTTCAGTTTTGAAAGGGGAAAAAAGGAGTGGGGGGAGTTTAACAGACAGCATAGATTGTTTTCTCAGTTCAGCTAAACACAAATGTTTCCAAGCCTCTGGGAATTGCTGTTGTGGACCCATGATCTTATTTCCATCCTCGTTTTCCTTCATAAATAAATCCAAACTCTGTATCCATAGCCAGTCCTCTGCCTCATACTGTAGTTTTCCATAATGTTGAGAACAGAGTGGAAAATGAGGGAGAATGAGTTGATTTAGATGGGGAGTGCCAGGCAATGACTGGAAGCTACTGAAGCCAACAAGGGCAGGTTTTAATGAAATACTGTTATCTGTACCATCAAGTGTGAGGCGACTGCAGTTTCCGTGTGCAGGGCCGTTTGAAATCTTGGTATTTGTCTTCAATTTAAGAAATGGTATTAAAGATACATGGGAAATAGTATACAAGGTGAGGCCTCCCATCCCTAGTCTGATTGTAGTAGTAGCACTGATAACATTTTTTGACAGACTGTAGTCATCATTGTTCGTTTTCTTTTGTCCAGTTTTCCCAGCCGGTCACCCAATTTTCAGTTCTCTTCATAGACTAGGATGATACCAGTGGAAATGCTCTTAATGCCTGGTATGTTGGCTGAATGCTTGTGAAGGCAGTCCTTGTCACACTGACCATTGTCTTTATGATGAGGCCGAACCTAATATTTACAGAGCTTAATCCATTTATAATACTACCTTTTCAGTGTTGTATAGGACCTTAAGCATGTGCTAATTGTGACAATGGTTTTATAATTTGTTATTTAGGCAGCAGTGTTTTGCCCTGTTAGGTAGGTATTTGATTAGTTGTTAAGGATGTTGTTTTGAAATTACTTTTGTTTCCTTTTCCACAGAAGAACATAGCTGTTGAAAATGACATAAGAATAAACAAAGATAATCTTACTGATCTTTATGTTCAGCATGCAATACCATTGCCTCAGAGAGATTTGCCAAAGAATAGATGGGGGAAAATGATGGAAAAGAAAAGAGAACAACATGAGCTAAAAAATGAGACTAAAAGGTACTTATCAGTGATTCTTGTTTTTATCCTCTATAATGAAATAATTTTGTTTTTATTTTTCTCCCCCAGGTAAATTTAGGTTAAAAAATTTCATTTACTCAACAACTATCTATTGGGCACCAGGTACTGTATGTATACCATGAATAAAACTGACAAAAATCCCTGCTCATATTTTAATTGGAAAAAAACATAATATAAAAGTTAAGTATATGGTATGTTACATGGTGACAGGTGCTAAGGAGAAAAGAAAGCAGTGAGAGTGATTATTTTAGGTAAAGTGGCCAGAAACAACCTCACTGAGAAATGTCACTTCAGTAGAGAGATCTAGAAAGTAGAGAGCAAGCCACTGTAGCATTCCATACAGAATATAAGAATTGGGGTCAGGAGTATGCTCATCATACCACCAACAACAAAGAGCCCACCAGGGCTACAGTGGAGAGACCCAAAGGGAGAGTAGGGGGAAGAGGTTAATTGAGGATAAAAGGAGATTGTCAGATCATGTAGAGCTTTGTAAGTCATAGTGAGAACTTTGGTTTTACTGTTGAAATGAGTAGACACTGGAGGATTTTGAGCAGAATGATGACACCATCTGATGTACATTTTAACAACATCATGCTGGCTGCTGTGCTGAGAAGTGATTTAAGGTGAGGGAGGGGAACAGGGAAACCAATTACAGTAATCCAAACAGTAGTTGGTGGTGACTTTGACTGAGGTAGTAGTGGACTTGGTAAGAAGTGGTTGGGGTTTGGGTATATTTTAGAGGTAGAGCGAACAACATATGCTGAATTGTGAGGAAAATAATGGAGTTAAGTGAAACTCTAAGGCCTTTGAATAATATAAAAATGAAGACACTCATTTATAGCTTCAGGGATACTTTAAAATTTTTTAATTTCAGAAAATTGTTCATAAAACAATAAGCAAATGAATTTCCCTTTTAAAGTTACATTTGACTGATCAGTGTGGTTGGTTGGTTAATGAGGAAAAAGTATGCAGAGACCTTTATGTTGGTTAGTGATTTCTTTTCCTGGGTCTCTTTTATTGCAAGTGGTGCTGTAGATTAATTACTGAATTTCCTTTTAGAGCCTTCTGTTTGTAAGGTGCTGCCCTCTGCAGTGCGCTAGAGACAGTGGAAGAAGATGGAGTGAAGGAGAATGCTAATTCTGAGTTGGTTCCTGGTTTTAATCTCTAGTTACAAAGAACGAAGGGAAACTCTTGATTGGTAGGGAGATTATTCCCCAAGGAGCAGAGTAGTTGAAGAATGCAATATATATGCTCAGAGTCTTTTGGAAAGTAAATAAATGTACAGTCTCACTTTTGAACACTGATGCAGACCCCACAGTCCGAGTCATTATGGATGAAATATGAGACAGATTCACACGGGCTGTCGAGTCCTGTGGAGAAAAAGGGACAGCATAGCTTTTCCCTCTCACGGGGAGCAAAAGCCTTGGCCCTTGCTCCAATGAGCTTTTATTTATTGTCTTACTGGGCATGTTACAAGAAGATCCTATTAACTATGCACAGGCTCGCTTTAGGTGGTTACCTTATGCAGAAAACAAAGGAGAGGATGCTGGTAATCACATCATGGGAGAGGGATTATTTGTAAATGAAAAGGCGAAACCAGTTAAATTCATCTATGGAAGGTTTAGCATGGTTTTTAGGAAGTTGCTTTGCTGTAAATGTCCTCAATTCAGGATGAGGGAGTTTTAGCAAAAAGCAAGACTCATGGCGGCCTAGGTACATTGCAGGCCTGATGCCCCATGGCAAAACCTATCTGTGGCCATGGGTCCTGTGCATCTGTGAGTGTGAGCTGGGCCCACGCCACGCAGAGCGGCCTCCCACAGAACACATTCAGTTCAGATTGAGCATTATTTTAGCTTGATGGTTGCATGATGGTACAGTGTTCATTTCATAAATCTATGGATTATGCTGTGTGTATCATTAATTTACTTATGAAAGTATTTTCTTTTTTATCTGCACATTCAGGTACATTGTCCTAAGCAGAGCTTTTATTCTGTTATACTTGACTTAATATAACAGTTCCTTTTATTAGGTCTCTCAGTGTCATTTTGGAAAGGATCTTTGGCTCTATTCTTAAAAATCACAACTCAATTCTTGTATCAGCATTGAAGCTGGAACGATCTAAGAGATCATCAGGTGTTGTTGAATTGCTCATTATTTTATCTCTGAAGGAACTGAGCTCTGGAGAAATGCTGTGACATATCACACAGAGCTAGGACCAGATCTTTATTCAAACTTGAATGTGCCTCTTGAAGCTTAAGATTGAACTCGCACACACCGATGCATCCTACTCACAGTCTTTCTGTTTCCCTTTTGCAATGGCAGTGTGTGTATAGTGAGCTTACTTTTCTTCTACGAAATGATTGTCAGTGGTGACCCAAGAATTGGTGAGTTTAGCCAATCACCTGGCATCTGGTTAAAAGGCAGATTCTGAATTTTTTACAAGGTCCCAAGGTGCTGCTAGTGCTGCTGGTCTCTGGCCCACACTTGGAGTAGATGGTCTCTGGACCACACTTGGAGTAGAAAGGCTGGAGAACTCCTTTTGAGTTCTTCTGACATGTTTGATTAAAAGGTTTTTATCATAAATCTTTTGTTCGACTTGAGGTATAATGAGTAATGAACAAATGAATGCTTTTATTATGTTTATGATTAAGAGTAGAAATTAGATTTTCTGAAGCTAGATCTGAAAACTTGCTAAATTTTAAAATTAAAATTTTACAAATGTTAGTTTAAAAAAATGCCAGTCTAATTAAAAAATGGGCAGAGGACCTGAACAGACACCTCTCCCTAGAAGACATACAAACGGCTCTCAAATAAATGAAAAGAGGCTCAACTTCACTTAATTTGTGTTAAGGAAATGCAAATCAAAACCATGAGATACCACCTCACACCTGTTAGAATGGCTATTATCAACAAGACAGGTAATAACAAGTGTTGAAGAGGTTGTGAAGAAAAAGGATCCCTCATTCACTGCTGGTGGGAATGTAAACTGGTGCAGCCACTATGGAAAACAGTATGGCAGTTTTTCAAAAATACTACAAATAGAGTTATTATATGACCCAGCAATCCCTCTTCTAGGTATCTATCTAAAAAACTTGACAGCATTTATTCACAAAGATATATACATACCTGTGTTAATTGCAGCATTCATGGTGGCCAAGACATGGAGATAACCAAAGTGCCCTTTGATAAGGGATTAAAGATGATGTACATATATGCTAAGGAATACTACTCAGTCATAAGAAAAGATGAAATACTGCCATTTGTGACAACTTGGATGGATCTTGAGAATATCATTCTAACGAAATAAGTCAGGCAGAAAAATCTAAGAACTATATGATATCACTCATATGGGATATAAAGCTGAAATTCAGAGACACAGAGAGACAAACAGTATGGTGACTACCTGAGAGAAGTGGGTAGGGGGTCAAATTTATTGGTGATGAGGGATGGTTTGACTTAGGGTGGTAGGAGTATACAGACCAGGTGTCATTGTGATGTACGCTTGAAACCTATATGACCTTGTTAAACGGTGTCACCTCAATTAATTTGGGTGTTTTGTTTTTTTTTAAGGAAAACATTTTGGTTTCAGAGACCTTACTGAATAGAATAGAATGTTCTGTATCATTGTATATAGACTGCCACTGTGGTAGTCTTGGTATAGTTTTATTTTTTAATATGCATCTGTCAGTGCTGCAGGCCTTATACTAAATTCTGGGGGTTACGTATTAAACAGAAATTGTCATGATCTGTATCTTCCCGTGGCCTTTGTGGACCACAGCAGGTGTCATTAAGTGTTTATGTACATGAGAAGGACAGCAGACTTGGGAGGAACAGTGAATACACTGTAGAGGTCAGAGAGCAGCTTGAGGGGAATAGGTGGCTTCCAGAGCCTGATTCTGGAATCACAGGCTAGCAAGGTCTCAGTCAGTCTTGGAATAATTTTGTAATTTATTATGTTTTCTAAGTAATAATACGTGATCAAAATAGCCTCATCAGTAAGATGGTGATTTTTAAAAAATAATTTTTTTTACTTTCTAGGAAATTCTGTTTTAAACTCTAGGGTTAGTGGGTAGATTGGTGATTTAAAAATAATGTTCTTGTGCATGTAGTAAAGCTATCTTTAAATTTCACCTCAATAAGTAAAGCACTAGAAAACTATTAAATTCCTTTATCAATAAGTTTTTTTTGTCATTGTTTTAACTTTATATTTTAGTAACTGCTTTGGCATTCCAGATGGTATTTTTCACTAACGTGTCTCTTTGATTTCAGGAGTAGTGCTATAGATGTGTTAAAGAAAAGACCCCTCATTGTGTTTGATGGAAGTTCAACAAGTACAAGCATAAAAGTGAAAAAGACAGACAATGGAGATAATGATCGACTCAAGGCTTCCCCTCAGGCAAACTTTACCAGTAATGCCTTTCGAAAATTATCAAATTCCTCTTCAAGTGTTTCACCCCTAATCTTGTCTTCCAATTTGCCTATGAACAATAAAACGGAACACAATTATAATGACACTAAACAGAACCATGACTTAACGCAGAGGAAAAGTCCTTTGGGCCCTGTGAGGTTGCCGCCTTTTTCCCCAGTGGGGACTACTCCTGTGAAGTTAAAGAGAGCTGCTCCTAGAGAAGAAGCCGAGGCCATGGTGAGTGTGGGGTGGTTTTCATGCTACTCTTAGAGATGGGAGTGATATCTCTGGGCAGTTAGCTGTGCTACAAACTGTTCTTGAATCCTTACATGGTGTGTCTTATTTTTACATCTCATTTTTTCTGCGTTTGAATCCTGAAATACTGAAATCCATGATGATAAACTAATGCTCTTTTAAAAGTACATGTTTTTTTTCTGCTTAAAATGTATATAGAGAGAAAAAGTCTCTTAGGCACTCAAACTAGATTTTTCTCATTTATATTTTTTCAGTATCTTGGAACTAAAATACATATTCTTTCTTTAGCAAGACTCAGTGTATTAAGTAAAATTTGTGCAGGATCACACATTTAAGTGGCATTGTAAAGCTTGGTCTTTGTTTTGCGCTTTCTTAGAACCACACTGGGGTCTTTAGGATTTACCACTTACCTCCCCTGCCTCTCAAATATTTCTACCTTAGAGGTATAGAGGATGTTTAGGGGAATCTACTGTGTTGTGTTCTACTATGTTAAGCATTTGGATGCTTGGATTTTACATGCTGGTAAATTTGATATAGTTAAATGTTTAGAATTTAATTGAGATTATATAAACATCTAGCAGTTTTATAAACTATTCCTTGTCTAAGTCCTTTCAGACTGCTACAACAAAAAGTACCATTGTCTGGATGGCTCAAGCAACAAACATTTATTTTCTATAGTCCTGGAGCCTGGGAAGTCCAAAGTCAAAGCAGTGGCAGATTCAGTGTATGGTGAGGACTTGCTTCCTAGTTCTTAGCTGTCTCTCACTGCGTCCTCACCTGGCAGAAGGAGCCAGGGAACCCTCTGCGGGCTGTTGTGTTAGAGCACTAATCCCATTCATGAGGGCTCCACCCACAGGATCTAATCACCCCAAAGGCAAATTGCTTATTAACCCAGAAACCCTGGACAAGTTTTAAAAAATTATCTAAGCTTCTGTTTTCTCATCTGTGAAATAGGATAAACTGTCTACATCCTAGGATTGCTGAAGGGATTTAAAGGATATAAGAACTTAGGGTTGGTCTGATACACAGTAGCTTTCTTTTTCCAGGATCTACTATTTTAGAATGTTTGAACTACCCTGAGTTTTGATCCCTTTGACATACAATAGGAAGATAACAAAGCCAAAGTATATACTACAGGAATGTGGTATATATTTATATAATCTCATTTTTAGATGTTAATATAATCTCAATTGAATGTTTGATCCCCTCAAAAGTAGAATATTGAAACCTAACCCCCAATGTGATATTTGGAGGTGGTGATTAGACCACAGCTAGAAAAATGTTAGCTAATCTCCTAAAATCTCCCCACCTGATGGCAGCAGAGATCTACCATTTGTATGTTATTATTCAACCTTGGTGATTTAAAATGTTCACTTCAGTTATTCTCTGACCTTTTTGTAAATATAAGCTGATTTCTGTTCATGTCTTTTCAGAATAACCTGAAGCCCCCAGAAGCAAAAAGGAAGATACAACACGTTACATGGCCATGAAGAAAAATTTCCAAAAATGTAAATATAACTGTAACTGTAGTTTTCAAACAAATTCTCATATATTGACAGTATTTGCAGAGATCTTTGTTGTTTTTTTTTTGAAGTTTTCTTAAGAGTTTTAAAATTAGGTTCAGAAAAATAGTCTTTCTTTTCCCTCTCTCCCTGCCTGCCTGCCTTTTTTTTTTTTAAAAAAAAAAAGAAATTTGCCTTTTATTCCCTGATTAGGAAATAATTTTTTAAAAGATTTTATTTATGTATTTTTAGAGAAATGGAGGGACAAAGAGAGAGAGAGAAACATCAGCATGTGGTGGTTTATCCCATGCTCCTACCTGGGGACCTGGCCCATAGCCCAGGCATGTGCCATGACTGGGAATCAAACCAGTAACCCTTTGGTTTGCAGGCCAGCACTCAATCCACTGAGCCACACCAGCCAGGGCAGGAAAGAATTTCCTTGTAAATGAGTGACTTAGTAAAATCATTCATATTGAGTCAAATTAGTAAGCTTACAAGTCTGGTATAAAGCATCTGATGAATTTTAGGAATTATTCTCATTAGTCTGTTTCAATGTTTGGAAAACTTTGAGATTTTTTAAAAACTCAAGTATTTCAGAAGTTAACAACTTTTGTTTCCTTTCCCAAGCAAAGGAATATAACAGTTCATCACAGCATTTTAGTAAGTACTGCCAAATTCATCCTCGAGGTTCACCAACAAAGGCATATTTGTAGTGCTTCCAATAAACTACTCAGAATATACAAATAAAACTGCTGTTCTTTAAGTGCTTGCTATTGCTCCTTTCCTTAAAGCCAAGACAGAATTGATTTCTTATGGGCTGACTAATCAGTGTCACCCTAGGTCCATGCTTAGAACATTCTTGTCATGTAGCAGCCCTGCCTCCTCCTCTTCATAAGCAGTGAGCTCACTCTGAGTTCATGCATCTCTCCCTCCTAGGATCTCAATGAGGCTGACTTTAAAAATCTTCAGGTGTAGCAATCATGTTAGAGGTCGTACCTGTTGGCAGAAAGTTTAGTGAACAGGAGGAAGGGAGTAGAATTGTAGAATTTGAGAGTCCAGGAAGTATGGCATTGAAGGGGGAAAATTCAGTGTGATCCAGAATAGGCAAGGAGAGGGGGAGGAGAAGGTACTGAGGTCAGAAGTCAGTGCAGTGACAGTAGAGAAGTGTGGGTACCGCTTGGCGGGGGTCCTTGCTGGTGTAACATGGACAACTTTCCAGGGCTGTCAGACATACCTAGTAAGGTTTTGTGATGTATTAAAGTGGTATTCCGACTGTATACTTGAAGTCATTGGGAAAATAGGGTTAAACCTTCTATTTGTGAATTGTAGTGTCCACTTTTCTGCTGTGTGTTTCTAACCAAGTGCAAGAATACTTAATACTTTTTCCTTTGTATGATTGATCTTCAAATTGGGGTTTATCTTTTTAATACTTTTTGAGCAGTCTCATTTCTATTTATATTTGTTAAAACAAGCATTTTAGTTCAGCTATTGAATAACCTTACAAAAAATTAATTCAGCCTGGCAGGTAGGATAAAATTTTAACTCTGTAGTTTTCCATCATTCTGCCTTTATCTAGACTCTAAGTCTGTACACATAAAAACAAAATGGATACATACTAAGTGTTACATAGATTGCTAAAGTTACGGTGAATTGTTAAACACAGTTATCTGCAGGGCTGATTTACATAATATTGTTGAAGGACAAGTGTATTCCTGTATATAACTATGTGAAGGGAAATTTTGAAAAGTGTAGATTATAGGGTAGAGTGACAAATTATATTTTATATTCAGTTGTCCCTTTTGCTTTCATCTGCTTTTCTCTTAGTTAAGAGAGAATTGACTCTTTGACAGTTTTAAGTCAGTAGAAACTTATTTTTAGTTACTCAAAATTAATTTTTAATTTGTATATTTAACTTACAAAGTAGGTTGGTGATAACAGCTGAACTGTGTAACATTGTTGCTTCAAATTGAAGTTTATATTATGAACATTCAGAATCAATGCTCATACAGCAGCATATTCTTGAGCTATTTTGAGTTTGAAATGTAAAGAACTAAACAATATACTATATATTACATATACCAACATCCTAGAGCACTGTGCCTTCTCAAGGTGCAGAGATACAGCTTGTCTTCAGTCTTTCTCCACATACTGAATGAAGCCTGCTGAATGATGGGGATTTGAAGCAGAAGTGTTGGGAGCTCATATATGGAAGTGTCACTTTGGTGAGCTTTGAAGTTGAGAAGGACTTGATTTGAATGGCTAACAACTTCAAAATCCTTTTTACTTACTAACATGGGTTACTACTGTTGCTCTTGATTCATTATTCCAATAAACCCTGTTTTTCTTATTACTGGGGTAGGAATGTGAATGACACTCATCAGTGAGTGGCTTCTGAGGTGCAATCACAAGCACTTTATCACTTCCTGCCGTTGGCAGGCGGTTTTACTTTTTTCTTCCCTTCCCTCTTTGTCCCTTGTTTTCCTTTTTCTTGTCCTCCTTTCCCATATTTTCACGTGCTTTGCTTTCATCTCCTTCCTCCTACAGATCCTAAGCTTCAAGCTTAGGTTTGTGCAAGTCATAGTTTGGTTCTGCTCATTCACTGGGGGTAAAGATAGGCCGACCCCCAGTCCTCTTACATTTGAGGGATCATAGACTGCTTGCTGCATGAGTTCTGGAGAGTCTCAAAGCTGTGCAGCACCAAGGCACGAAATTGCTTCCCAATGGCTACAAAGGCTGTGCAGTTTTACAAAATAGCTTTGTTGATGTAGACAAGTACCCAGGCACTTTGGAAAGTTGGTCCAACTACCACTATGAGCCCGTAATATTTTTGCTAGTATTAGAGTTCTTTAGAATTGTAATTATTTTTTGAAATAACATTTTGGTTGACTTAAGTTTCAGAGATGATACTAAAACTAATGGAAAGACTCATTAAATAGCAATGACCTTTTAAAACTTACATTAAGTGAAACTGCCAGTAGATTAAATAACATGTATGTAAGAGCTTCCTCTATTCACTACTGTGCAACTTCAGTGATTTTTAGAGGCTACAAAATGGTCAAAATGTTTTTAAGTGTGCTCTTTTATTAAATGCTTGTGCAGGTTTTGTAATTCAGTACAGAAAGTTTAACCTTGTAATGTACACTTTTTTTGTATGTGAAAAGTCTTTTAAGTAGCCGTATCCTTATTTAAATAAACTAAATAAAATTATTGAGTAGGTCTGTCATTCGTAAAGAAAAAATAAAATGGAAAAATACTCTGTAATGACTTGATCTTTTTTTATGTGAGTAAACTATATTGAAAGATGTCATTTTTTTACAGTAAAACCTTCTGTGCCTGGATTGATTGTGCTCAGGTGTGGTTCCAATAGTCCATCTAGTCTTGGGGCCTCTGCTTTAGAGGGGAGCTTGGCTAGAGTAACCTGGTGTTCAGGACCCCCTGGGGGCGGGGCACATTGACACATTGACTGCCACTACGCTTGAAGGGGTGGAAACATGTCCCTGAACCTCAACCCTTGTAAGCTTTCTTAACTGGTGAGAAACCAGAGATTCAGTTGAGGGCTTATTTGTGTTTGAGTGATCTTGAGAGTTCATTTCTAGGCTCGTATCTTAATGTTGGATAGTGAAGCTCTAAATTAACTAACTTGGAAAAGCCTCAGGTAAGCTCTACCTTGAACTTAAAAAATAGATCCTTGATTTTTTTTGTCTGGACAGAAGAGACGGAAAAAATCTTATTTCCATTTAGGTATTTACTAAAGTGTTTTTGTACTAACTGAAGTGCTCTGCTCTGTCAGTTGTTATAATACTTGGTTGTCTTCTATATTGTGGTAGGAGAAAATGAAGGTGTGAATTAAGATCCTGCTCCTAAAGAGAAGACAGGCAAGTGAACAATGAATAATGGATGATTGTAATGAGGGAAAGAAAATCAAGCCTAATCATGGAATAGGGATGGGGAAGGTAGGATGAGAAACTACTTTAAATATAATGGTTGGGAAAGACTTCTTTGAAAATTTTAAGGAGCAACAGCTATAGAAAGCTTTTAGGAAACGCATCCTACATGTGGTAGATGGTGATCAAACAAGTGCTTTTGCTGTCACTCTTGGACACCTGCTGCAGCCATGAGAAGAAAAAGCTTGCTAGAAAAATATGTCCCAGCTGACAACATCCACCCTAGTCTAGTTGTAGGTGACCAACTGCATGCAAGTCCAGGGCAGACCAGCCCAGATGGCTGACTCACAGAATCATCATGACAGAATAGGGGTTGTATTAAGCTATTAAGTGTTGGGGATGATTTGCTACTCAGCACTAGATAACAGACATCAGACTAGACAGTGAAGTGAAAACCCTCTTTTAATAGGTTTTTAGAACAGAAAGACTTGGTGGGGAGAGTAGTATAAAATAAAGCCAAAGGTAGGCAGAAGCCAGATTATGGAGAATCTTAGGTAGGCCATGTTAGGGACTTTGTATTTGGTTCCAAGAGAAATGGGAAGTTGTCAGCAGTATTCAGACTTAATAAAGCATTCAGTTGAATCAAAAGATAGAAATGACTAGTTAATTAAGTGTGTAATAGCACTAAACATTTTTTACCTCTAGTAAAATTAAGTAGGTGTCTTGTTTTTTAGCCTTTGGATAAGTAGTTTGAACTAAAATATTTTTCATTTTATTTTTCTATTATAAATTATTTATATTTCTTTGACTAATAATTATACCTTAGGAGACTGGAAAATGTAAGTCATGATGAAAGATAGTTTTATAACTATAAAAACACCAAAACAAGTTAAGCAATCTGTTATATTTATTCTGCCCTGCTACATAATTTTCAAAAATAAACTTTTAAAATATAAACCTATATTTAGGTTTGTAGAAATACTACCAAAGTGGTGTAGAGAGTTTCCTTACACTGCACACCCAGTTTCCCCATTACTAATTTATATTAATATGATACCTTTGTTGAAATGAATCAATACTGATATGTTATTGTTATAGAAAGTCTATAACTTTATTCAGCTTTTCTTAGTTTTTACCTAAGGTCCTTTTTCTGTTCCAGAATACCACCTTACCTTGTCTTCATAGTAGACTCATTCAGTAGACTTATTTGGGCTGTGACATTTTCTCAGACTTTTCTTAAATTTCTTATAATCTTAACAGTTTTGGAGCATTTTGGTTAGTTTTTTTGTAGAGTGACCCTCAACTACTTTCCATCACCCTATCCCGGAAGTGTTCTCTACTATAGAGATACCCTTCCTCTGTGCTCTTAAAACATATCTCAATAAAACACACCCCACTATAAAAAAGACAAAAGCACCGAAGAATTGACAGACAAAAATCTAGGGACCACAAGAACCGAGCACAGTAGGCCATGTTGTTTGATGTGCTATTAAACACAATGTGTTGTGAGGGAGAAAAGACAGCCCCACAACCCACAAGATAGGAAACCTAGTAGCCATGACTCCAAAGAGCACCTGTCTCACATGAAGTAGGTGAATTAGAAGTAAACCTGCCCTGCTGAGTGGAGGGAAGAGCAAAAGAAAACAGGAAAATATAAAGGAAGAATAGGAAAGGGAAAGAAGGGACAAAGTTGGGTGGAGGCTGGAAGCAATGAAGCAGGCCCTCATACAGATTTTACACCCCCCAGGATGGCAAACGGAACACACGAGGTGACTTGGAAGTAGTGTTAGCCTGGTGGTGCTCCAGGCCAATGGCAGAAGCAATGGAACTCCTTTCTGCAGGAAGACATGGCTCTGAAGCCTTGGGAAATGCCCACCGATAATTTTATAAAGGCAGTGACTAGCACAAGTCAGAATTACCTAGGCATACAGGAAACAATACCAAGTATGAGATTCAGCAGAAACATCAGGTGCAAGAGACTGACACCCAAAGCTTTCATGTATTAGAATAATCAAGTAAAGATCAAGCAAGTTTGCTTGCCATGTTTAAGGAAAAAAAGACCAGCTTTACAGTAACTGTCCAGTATAGGAAACCATAAGAAGTGTAACACATTTTTATTTGTATTGACATATAAAATACTGTAGAATTTAAAATAGACAACTCGGTGAATTTACATATGCACGTGAATGTGTGTGTGTGTGTGGTCATCACTACCCAGATTGTAACAGCAAGGTTGGCAAACTTGGTAGATGAATGGGCATGGCTTTTTTTCCAATACAACTGTCTAAAGGAAAGCAGACAGTGGGCAGGATGTAGCCCAAGAGACAGTTTGCTAACCCTAGTACAGAGCATGCCCAGCATTCTAGACAGTTCCCTCCTGTCCCTTCTGACACAGAGAAGTGACCAGTATTCTGACTTCCCTCTCCATAGTAGAGTATTACCTGCTAACATTTGTTCACTTTATGTTTTATTTCAGTTTAATAAAAGTTCTTGTTCATAAAATGGCTTATCATAGCACTGTGTTATTTATAGCCAGAGCATCTATTTAACGTCATGATTCCCAGCTGGTCGAGGAAAGGGTGGCACTGGGGTGGAGGCCCAGGCAGGCTTTGTGTGTCTACATCCAGACTCCCCTGAGGTGGGTGAGGGGGTGCCAATCTCAGTTCATTACTTTCAGGAATTTTCCCTTTATTTTTGGCTTTTCAGCATTTTGATATGTCTGGGTACAGAAATCTGCACTTTTCCTTGAGTTTGTCAAGTTGCTTGGATAATGTTTTTCATAAAATTTAGGCAAGTTTTCAGCCATTAACTCTTAAAACATTTGTTTTGTCCCTTTTCTCTCTTCTGGTATTCCCATTTTGTATATGTTGGTACATTTAATGTTGGCTCACATTTCTTTGAAGCTCTGATCATTTCTAATTCTGTTTTTGTTTTTTCAGATTTTATGATCTTTACTGATCTACCTGCAGGTTCACTGATTTTTCTTATTATATGTTCCATTCGTTCTTTAAACATGGTTTCCTTTATGTCTTTGAACATGTTCATAATATATGTTCAGCCATGTCAGAGGTTCTGCTTAAGCACTTTGAGCTAATAAGACTTCTGATCTTTGCCAGTGATCTTATGGCTTGGAGGATGCTTTCAAGTCTGCTCCACGTCCACTCCTATTGCTCCTGCGTGGGTGCAACCCATTCCATGCCTGTTAAGTCTTCTGGATGCCCCAGGGATAAGTGGGATCCCATGAGGGCTCTTGTTAGCTCTTTCTTCCGTTTTTCTGTTAAACTACTGACTAGTCTGCCATTTAGCTTTTTACCACTAGTATCATGGAGCTGCCAGCCCCCTCTTAATTACTTGCCACCAACTATGTTGTTTTTGACAAGTTGGGTAATTGAAAGTTGGGTTCATCTAGTGCAGGAGTGTCAAACTCACTTCACTGGGGGCCACATCAGCCTCATGGTTGCCTTCAAAGGGCAGAATGTAATTTTAGGACTGCATAAATGTAACTACTCCTTATAAGTTAAGTGAGAGTTCAGCACTGCTGCCAGGTAGAAACAAAGTGCCGGGTCGGGTAAAACAAGGTGGAAGGCCGGATTCGGCCCGTGGGCCATATGTTTGACATCTGTGGTCTAGTGTATCCGGTTTTAATAAGGAACAAGTAAGATGTTCCATGATGAAATTTGGAAAGTTTTTACTTCATTTCTTTTTGGAATTATGCCATTTGTATTTTGAAAAGCACATCTGCAATAATGCTTTTACTTTGGTATTATGAAGTAGAAGATGGCAAAACAGCTAAAAAAGGCAAAGCCTCCAGCTAATTGTAACTCTGGGAGGCCTGTCTCAGACCTGATCAAACATTTCTCACAGTGGTAGCACTCAGCTTAAGAAACTCGAGGTGTGCCTGATCGGCATGGATGGAACTTGATTTCTACCAGGTTTTTCTGTTGCATAGCACATCATTTTACAATACTGTATTATCTTAGAAAATTAAGGACCAAAGTTTAATATTGTTACTATTCCAAAAAGAGAAACATGCAATGCCCTATCTCATAAATTGGTTCAGTGCTTGCAATTGTATAGTCTGCTTTCAAAGATGATTTTGCAGACTTCTGCCAAACTAGGAGCTCAGAGTGTTATCTTTATAGCAGTTATTCTGTCTCTTTTTCTCTTTTTTACTTTCTTTTCAGAAACACTTACTGAAAGGCTTCCAGTATGCCCCAAGTTGCTCAGGTGTTGAGAATATACTGATAAACAAGATGTCACCTCTGGCCTCAAGGAGCTTGTGTCCTTTTGCAATCCTGCACTTTATGGAAGAGAAGGCAGGTCAGTGCAAGATCCACGACTGTGGGAAAGCTCCCAAGCTGTCTGGTGACCCCAACATCACCTTCATTATCACCAGCCTATATGCTGGAGCTTCTGCATATGGATCAAGTGCAGACTGTTGAATTCCAAGAGAGAGTTTGGGAGAGGGGAACAAAGAGAAGATAGCAAGGAAGAGGTCATAGTGCTGACCAAAGCTTTTAAATAAAAGGTGTGATGCAGTTTTAGTTAACGCTGACCCAGCTCAGGAGAATAGCATGTCAGACAGTGATCAGTAGAACATGCAATAAAGTGTTGTTTATGTGTAGCACCTTAATGTTTAATCATTACTTCACACGCTGTGCCTGGATAACTTTATTATTAGCCATATAATCTTGCTGCAGGCATTACACAACAGGATGTTACATGGTCATAAATATCAGTTTTTCATTACCTTATGTAGTTTGGAAAACTTTCAAGTTTGTGACATGTTAATGCACTTAAAAATTAAATGCACAGTGAAAAAAGATACATTTATATAAAGATATTCAAGAGGATTTTGTACTTGGATTTTGCTTGATTATAAAAATTCAAAACCATTTTTCCACCTAATGTTTCCATAAGGGTTTTCTCCTTCCCCAGGAATGAACTACTAATATAAAGGATTTTAACAAACGTGAGTATCATTGAGAAGCACAAGAGGAAAGTCTTGGTGTGGCTGGTGGGAACCAGAACACAATGTTGCCTGGTTGAGAAAGAAAATATATAAATCTGTGTGTGTTGCAAGCAGTAATTTGTGTTGACCTCAGATGTCTTTCCCGCAGTCGGGGCACAGGATGTCATCCCTTTCCGTGAGGAAGCCTCGGCCCACCAGTGAGAGGGAACACTTCTTGCAGTTAAAGCAGTCATTATGCCACTGCCGTTCCTCAAAGGAGATGTACTTTGTGCCGCCAAGTCCTATTAACAGAGACAAAATAACACCAAATGAAGAGGGAAAGGGGGAGCATTGCTAGTTACACTCAGCACTGGGACTAAAAAAGGAATACTGGTTTGATCCATTTCAAATTTGGATTTCTGGGTGCTGGGATCCATGTAAAAATCAGACACTATACACAGCCTTGAGGAGCTCAGAAATATCAGAAGAAGCAGATCTATAAACTGGCTCCCGAACTATATGATAATACTATAATTATAAAGAGCCCATTGCATGTGTTTCTTTTTCCTACCAGAATGAAACTCACTGAGACAGCGAGCTGATTTCTCCCATTCCTTTACCGCATGCCTCTTGTTGGCACTGTTTTGTGATTTAATGAAGTGTTAAAAGGGAGGTTGAAGAGGAAAATGCAATATTTCCTGTAATGTCCAGGAAAGACCTCACAAAAGAAATGTGTGGGTGTGGGAGCAGCGGATGGACTTTATTGCAGAGGGGCCATCATGAGGCTAGCTACAGAAGCGTGAAGTAAGGTGGCTGGAGCTGGGTAAGAGTCAGAGGTCTAGTGAGACTGGTAGAAGATGGAGCTGTTAAGAGGCGAGAGCAGCTTATGAAGATGTGTGGGCTGCAGAGACAACTATCTTAAACGTTAAAAAAATTAGGGATGCATTTCAGTTTGGGTGCTTAACTCATTTCATAGCTGCTACTACTCAAAATGTTTAAGGTACATTGGCCACTTATTACAATATAGTTGTGGTTCATACTGCCACTGAGCCCTCTGAAATCAAGTGAAGTCAAATTCAAGATTATCTTAGAGGTGGGATAGATTTTGATGAAATCTTGATCATGAATTCCAATTACAAAGAATTCTTTCCAGAAGTAATGGTTCAATCTACCATTTTAAAAACAAAATAACCACACTGACTTGACTACTCCATTTGTAATAGTTTGAGGTCTCAGACTAGTATGAGAGAAGTCTGTAATTCATCAAACAGTTAGTTTGGCGAGACTGACATTAGGCATTCAATCTTTTTACATGGGGGAGACCTGAGGCCTTAGAGCTTATCCTCCCTCAGCTAGATAGTGACAGGGTTGGGACTTGAATGCAAGTTTTTGTGCTCATGGTAATACCACACCATCTCTGCTACACTAGCAATGCTTCTCAACTCTTTTCCTAAATATAGCATTAAAAGACGAGTGACAATATTGACTGCCTCTAACCCTAGACTTGCAAGGGCTATGAAAGGCCTACAGATCAGAGCCCATGCCCTAGCCCTGAGGAAGAACAAAACTAGTGATTTGGGCCAGAGGGTCTCAAACTTTTCTGCATATTTGAAGCTTTTAAAGCTTCTAGATCTTCCTGGCTGGTGTGGCTCACTTGGTTGAACATCATCCCACAGAGTGAAAGGTCACTGGTTTGATTCCCCACCAGGCACATGCCTGGGTTGTGGGCCGGTCCCTGGTTGGGGGACATGCAAGAGGCATCCGATTGATGTTTCCCTCCCTCTCTTTCTCCCTCCCTTCCCCTCTCTCTAAATAAATAAATAAAACCTTCAAAGTTCCAGATTATGGCTAATTAAGTCATGACCCAGTCAGCACTAATTTTTAAAGCTCCCCAGGTGTTTTGAATGTGCAGCCAAATTTGAAAACCAGTGGGTTTATGCAACACTTTAACTTAGGGGCAGGGATTGCAGAACAGCTAGAAGATACACAACCCATATCTTGCTTTATTGCACTTGACTGTGCTTCACAGATGTGTTTTTTGTAAATTGAAGGCTAGACCCTTCACCAGCAAAAAGATTACAGGTTACTTTATTGCAATACTCACTTTATTGTGGTGGTCTAGACTGAACCTGCAATATGCCCAAAGTATGCCTGTACTTGTTTTTCTTTCCATCACTCTGAGTTAACTGGAAAGCCCAAAAGCAGCTAGGAAGTCCCCCAGTCTTTCTACCATTCCATGTTTCTCCTTTCTCTGATAAGTCCTGCTCCACTGTAGATCTGGGACAAGGAGGAGCATTGGGAGGGAGATGATGGGAAGGATGTTAGTGATGGGAGCTGTGCGGGCAGCTGTCCCAGGTTGCAAGCCTCCTTTTAGAAGGCCCACTATTTTTTTGAAGTGACAGCAAAGGAGGCAAGTGATAGATATGAGATCCAAAGACAGGCCCAGGGGAACGAGTCCTGCTAAGGGCAAGATGTATGTACAGTAAATTCTCACTATTTGAGATAGGTCTGTTCTATAAAGTCACTGAACAACGGCTTAGCATATATTGAACTCCTGCGCCTATGAGAAATACAGGGTGAGGTTCGTAAGAGCCTCCGGTCACAACATTTCCATCTTCAGTACTTGGCCTCTCTTTATGTCTATTTCTGTGTAAAGACCTGTATTTAACATATATTGTTGACTCATTAACATTGAACTTACAGTCACCAGCACTGTAACTCAAGCCTGAAGGAAGCTCATTTAACACGCAAGGCAGCACCTCACAGCCTTCCTGGGCTCAGGAACAGACAGCACTATCCTTTGGGGCCATTTTAAGCAATGAAAATGTCAACAAAAAGCACAAAAAAATGGAAAAAACATGGCACTAAACAGACCATAAAAAGGACCCTTGTTTCCAACATGAGTTGAAACAAGAAGGTAAGAGTGTTGCCTTGTTGCACCTTGACTGGGAAATGTTCTCATCAGATGACGCAAATTTTCACCATTACCTGTGCATGTCTGCAAATGAACATGAAAGCGTCATAGGTTTTGATATTGGAGTCACAAATACATGTTGGTGAGTAGGTAAATTTTCAAATACGAACTCTGAATGGTGAGGATTGACTGAATTAAGCATCACTGCACAGAAAAAATTGGAAAACATCAATTCTTATTTATTTACAATCACTTAAATTTTTAAAAAGTACTAAGTAAGGATCTATTAGAAATTTAATCTAGACTGAATCTCACACATTTGGGAATCTAGCTGAAAGTACATTTTAGCTGCAATTTCAAAATTCCTCGGTAGGACCTTGAGCATTAGCCTCTATTTCAGACGGTTAACTCTCCTCTTTTGGGGTAAAGATTTCATTCCATTTTTCTAGTGCTTTTTTTTCCAGTGCTACAATCGTAATAACCACAATTAACACACATACCTGATATTTTACATTTAAAAATGCTTTGATGTAGATTATATTGCTTTATAAACCCTAATTTCATAACATTTACTTCTACAGAAGTTCTTGCAAAACAGTATTAAAGATTAATACATTAGAGTAATAGACTTCGTTTTTCTCTCCAAATGCTGCCAAGGGGAATCTGGTGTATGAATTACTGTAATTGTGTGTCTTAATATAGAATAAATGCTGTGCTTCTCTTCTTTATCATTTCAATGGGTATATGAGCTCTGGAATACATATGAGATGAGAATTATTCTAGTGACCTGGGATTTTTCTATATCAGGTGAGTTAGCTGTGTTTGGTGAACTCAGTTCTAGACCTAAGTAAGGGAACAGAAAATCAAACAAGTACAGAGAGAGTATGAAATGTGAATCCACACAAGAACACTACTCAGCCAGGCCCTGTGTTTATATTGCATGTATCTGCCACCTGCTCTGGGCAGGGATCAACTGAATGTCACGGAGCTGGGAACCCCACCTCATGGAACTTCTCCAGCACCATTGCAAAATCTCCCACTCTTCCCTCCCAGCCTCATCACTGGTTTGTGTGGCAATACGTAGGGCACATGTAGAAGACTGTAGTCTGACCAGCCATCTGTTCCCCATACTGAATTTCTCAGCATACTTCATAGTTTAGTCCAATGCCCAGTCTGCCAGCTAACCCTATTTGGGGATCTCACTTTGCCCAGCCCTTTGGGGGATACAAAGAACTACCTAGAATGTTGCCCTCTGCCCTCAGACAGCCATGGCCTTGTGGTAGAAAAGTCTCTCCAAGATGCTTGGAGCACCTTCAGGAACCCAGTACAGCTGCTAACCCTGAAAATTCCAGTTTCATTGTGCTTATATGGTTGTCATATACTCACAGATTGCAGTTTTAGAGATAATACAACCAAAAGCAGAATAATAAACCTCTCGAGAATGGGTCATTCATATGGTTTTCAGTGATCAGGTGAGTTGGAGGGGAAGCCATTATCTATTGAATTGTCCAGTGTAACAAGGGGAAGAAAGCAGGAAGAAAAAAGTCAGCTCAGAACCTTTGAGACCTAGAGAATCTAGGTACATAGGCAGACCTCATTTTATTGTAATTCGCTTTATTGCACTTCACAGATGTTGGACTTTTACAAATTTGAGGCAAGACCCTCCACCAGCAAAGAATACATCTCACTTTATTACAGGGTGTCGGGAACTGAACCTAGAGTATCTCCAAGGTGTGCCTGTGTAAGCAACTTCACATGCTAGAGTCTTACACCTTGCGCAACCTTCAAATGGCTACGTGATGGAGAGCTGAGGGTTATGAACCCAAGTGGGGACTCCCGGAGACACTCACCGCTGATGGGGTTGGTGCACCCAGCACACTTCTTGGCATAAAGGTCGCAGAAGCAGTTCAGGCAGTAGGCAAACTCATCCCGGGATGTGAAACGCTGCCCAGACAGTGGCTTCCTGCAGGCTGTGCACACAAAGCACTCCTTGTGCCAGGGCTGCTCCCGGTAGGTGACCCCTCCAGTGGTGATGGGCTGGAGGAGGCAAGAGAGCAAAGCAAAGGTCAGTTTCTCAAGGCAGAGTGGCCTCTGTTCTTAGCATTCTTCCTTAGCCTCCACTATTGCCATCAGTGATGCAAGATCCTCATCCAGAAAACAGCCAGCTCTGGTTAAAAGTCACTGAGAAACTGCTTCACAGACTTCCTTATCACCCCTCTATTGCCCCTTCCACTGCTGCAGACCCTGGCGTTCCTGCTTGCAATACAGGGACTAGGACATTACCCTCGGCCCCTCAGAGAGATGCTAGGACTCAAAGGTGCAGTGTCATGGGAAGCATTGGTTTCTCACTGGGGAGGAGGCGATGCCATGAGGGTAAAGACCACACAGCCTGCATCAAGGAGACAGATTTTAATCCTAACCCTGCCTCTGACAGCCCTGGGCCTGTGGCCTCATCGTCTGTAAAGATCCCTGTGCAACTTGGTCTATTCATTAGTTGTGGACAAGGTTAAAAGACACTGTGGGATTGGGCCTGCTGATGCTGTAGGGAAGGACAGGCATCTTGGAAGGTTGGGAAAAAGTAAGCCCACAGCCTGCCTTCTCATTCTGTCCTACAGTCTAGAACTTTTGCCAGAAGCCTGATATACCAAAACTGGTCATTGATATCTCAATTTGCTCTATTTTCCTTCTTATATTGTTGCATTTTTCCAATGTTGCACTCATTGGAAAACAGATGAAGATAGAACTGAGTACAGTATGCCAGGAGGCCAGTGGGTCTCAGCTTGACAGAGCAATGGCGATGGGAGATGGGGTGGAGACACTCATATCAGCACTTTTGGGCAGTGCATTTTTTCAACACTGTGGTATCATCTGGTGCCTCCTCTAATCCTTACATAAAGACAGATATTCCTGCTGTTTTGCAGATGAGTGCATTGAGACCCAGAGAAATTAATGACAAAGGAAGAACTGGAGTTCTGGACTTCCTTCTATCCTGTACTCTTTTTATTAAACTATAAACCATTAAAAATTATCCTGTCAGTATTCCCCTAAGGAACAGAATTTATACAAAATATGTTGGGTGGCAAGGTATCTACATGGCTACAGAAGGCATTTATTTGTAAGATGTTTCCTTCATCTACAATACACTCCCTTGCCCTCACTCCATCCAGATTCCATGTCCCCTCGCCTACCCCCCGCCCCCATCACTCAGCTAACTCAGATGTCTTGGCATAGGTGGTGCTTTCTTAGAGAATATTCCCTAAACACAACCCTGGCCCCTCACTCCTCAGATTACTTCAGGTCTTCCTGATGTACACTCTGTTACAACTGTTCTTTTCCAAAGCATACTTGTCGACAGTACTTGAATGTTCGACATTAAAGTGCATATCCACTCAGACTCTGTCCTTCTTCTCCACCATCAGATGGTGGGAGGAATGGCTGCTTCTGGCATGAATGCTGGTGTGTGTACTGAGTATCACATGCACACACAGGCATGCAGCCCAGAAGATGTGCCTTTATTTCCCTAACTAAATAGCACAGTAAGGTGGGGAAAAACACAGAGAAAGGAGAGCAACTAAAATGAACTTTCCTTGGGTCTAATAAGAAAAACAAAACCAAAAAGGATTGAACAGACAACAGGATTCCTAATATAAACACAGGAATGAGATTCCATCTAAGGTGTAAGGAATAACTACTATATAAATAGCATGATCATGACAGAAGAATAGGGAGAAATGGAATTCAAAATAGTAGTAAAGAAAAATGGAAATGAGTGTCCTGACCAGTGAGGCCCAGTTGGTTGAGCATCATCTTACAAACTGTAAGGTCTCCAGTTTGATTTCCAGTCAGGGCACATCCCTGGGTTTTTGGACCTGTCCTGGGTTGGGGCATGGGTGTGAGGGGCAACTGATTGATGTTTCTCTCACACATCAGTTTCTCTCCTTCTCTTCCCTCTCTAGAAATAAATAAAGTCTTAAAAAATCCTTTTAAAAATGGAAATGAGAGAAGGAAATGAAAGCCTGAAGAAAATTAGCAACACTCTTCCCTTTGAAAAGGTGCAGACAGGTGGGGCATTCTAGCCAAGGCTCACCCAAGACAGGGGACAGTATAGGACAGGGCCCAGGACAAAGCCTTGCAGTAGGGCTGCCCGTCCACAGTCTGAAGGCGAAGCAGGGCCCCAGCTGGAGAGACAGGAAAAACGCACAGGCAATAGAAGGGGCAGGAGCCAAACAAGTTGCACAAAGTTCTACAACTGGCACTGTTAGCCATGGGAGTGAACAGCTCAGGAGTGCTCTGACCTATGTGTGTAAGAGGACACACTGTGGCAAACTCAGCTAGAGCCTGAAAGGCACAGATTTTGGTATGACAGGGTCAGCTGGAGATGGCTTTCTACAGGGGCAGGGTTCCTTTGCTTCCTCTAACCTAACAGAGCCGTGACAGCACAGGACTGGCTCGGTAAGTGTAATTAATGATGTGCCCCACCCACATCATTCTCCCGCCCTTCTCACTAAGTTTAGCAACTGGCTTCTAGTGTCTTCAAGGAGAGCAGTATAACAAAGGCAGCTTTGGCATAGTAAGTTCTCTTTTTCTTTAATATCAACTCATAAGTGAGCAAATGTTTGGAAATGTTCCAGAAGAAGGAAGGAGTAAAGGACTTTTTTATCTCAGATCACAATAGTGCTCATGTCTGAAAAGACTAGAACACGGGTCCAATGGCAAAATGTACAGAAGTACATTAGAGCTGTGGAACATGGAGCGAAAGAGGCATAACTTTCATGCTGTTCAGGCATCACAGCTGTCATCTCTTTCGGAAGGGGCAAGCTGACAGGGGCCACAGAGCTAAGCTGACTCAATTGTGCAAGGTCCAGGGGAGAATTAGGTACCTTTTTGCACTGAACACATTGCAAGGCATACTGTTTCTCATAGCAGGGCACACAGAAATTCTGCTCATCCTTGGGGATAAAGCTCTTGGTTCCAATTGGCTGCTGACAGCGATGGCAGATGAAGCAGGTCTCATGCCAGCTGCTGCTCTTGTACTCCATCTTGCGGGTCCCTGTGGTGAGAGTTGGGAAAAACAGAGTGGCTGTGAAAATGACTGCCTAGGGGTGTAGCAGTCTGCACTGGAACCTGCCACCATCCAACTTTGTGACCACAGCGAGTCACTTCACTTTCAAAGGCTACCCTCTAAATGGGAATAATTTCTGTGTTGTAGATAGCAGGGACTTGGTCCAGTGCTACACACACACACACACACACACACACACACACACACACACACACGGCATATACAAGGCCCATGGGCAAAATCTGGCCCTCTACCTTATTTTATCTGGCCTGGAACCTTGTTACTACTGGGCAGCAGCACGGAGCTCTTGCTTAACTGTTAAGGAGTACTTACACTTATACAGTCCTAAAATTACATTCAGTCCTTCGAAGGCAACTGTGAGGCTGATGTTGCCCCCGGTGAAAATGAGTTTGACACCCCTGCTAGAACAACATCTGTACATACTCAACATATTTGTATGCACATAACATGAAAAAGAATATCTGTTTCTCTCTCAGCATTGCAAAATATAAAGAGCAATCTGGCATAGCTCAGACTAAACCTTGCAGAACGTGAAATTTGGAGCAGAGGGACCTGTTAACAAACACCCCTCTTCTTCTCAGTGGGATGGAAACTGTTGGGTGTGAAGGAATCTAGTGTCTCCAGCCCAATTCAGCGAGGAGCCTCTCCATCACTCACTTCATGCAGCTGTGGTGCAAACCCAGCTGTGATGGACCTCAGTGCTTTCACGTGCTGTATCGGTGCTGCCATTAACATCCACACACACCACTTGAATCTCCCCTTTACTGATTTTCCACTCTTATCACATGTTTCCTTTTGAGTAACTATTAAGTAACTATTATCATCTGATATGCTTAAATAATTTCTTCAAGTAGATTAAGATAGAGAACCAAAATGTTTTTTGGTTCACCCTGAAACCTGATTCACAGCCAATGTTCAATACTTGTTGATTGATGTTTTTCCCATACTTTACAAGAAAAAGTGTATATATTTATTGAAAGACATGGTTCAGGACAGACATGTATGTGAGCACCCTTGGTATGAAGCAGAAGTATTGAAGGATTTGGGGGGAAAAGAACCATAATGGGTGAGGGAGCAGAAATGGCTAGGCACCAGCACCCGACACACAGCCCAAGGGCCGAACCCAGACTGCAGCCCATTTGATAACTGAACTTTTATTGGAACATAGCTACACCCATTACTCCCACCTGCTACAGCTGCTTCCACACCACAGTCGCAGCATTGAGCAGCTGTGACAGGGGCTGCATGGCCTACGAAGCCCACAATATTTGTCAGGTTCTTTATGGAAACATTTTGCCAACCCCTGGGCTCACAAAAAGGATGCTGCTTTCTAAGAACTTCAATTCAAGGTCAGGAACAAAGGTGTGAGGCCGAGGGCAGGAATCTGGTGGCAGCACTCTGAGATAGGTCAGGCAGCACAATGCAGGCATCTATAGTCTTTAAGTAAAAAGCAACAACAACAAACAAACAAACAAAAACACAGACTAAGAGCTGTATTTTAGCTGGTTGGAAAGTTGGTGAGATGTACATGACTCAAATAATTAGAATATGCACTGGGAATCATTATGTCATTTTTGGGTCACTCTCTCAGCTTCTACATGTACTTCCAAGATCAGACATTTGAATGCCACCTGCCATAAAGTAATAAAAAACTCAGGGAATTCTTGAGGGAGGGGTGGGACACAGGGATCTCCAAAGCCTATGGAATTCAATCATGGGTGATGAATCTTGAAACAAGGAAAATTGTAGTAAGCGGTTTAATTTTAGGTAAAAATGATGGAAGGATTTTAATGTAAATTCTAGAACGATTTACTTCAGTCTCCATGTGGTGGGGGCAGAGGTTATTTTCTTCATGTATAGCTTCTTCACTGGATTTTAAAAAATAAATTTCATTGATTTTGCTATTATAGTCGTCCCAATTTTTTTCTTCCCTTTATCCTCTTCCTCCCTGTACTCCCTACTTACTTCATGTCCATGGGTTGTACATTTAAGTTTTTTGGCTTCTCCATTTCCCATACTATTCTTAACTTCCCCCTGTCTATTTTGTGCCTACCATTTATGCTTCTTATTCTCTATACCTTTCCTCCCATTATCTCCTGTCCACCTCCCTGCTAATAACCCTTCATGGGATCTTCACTTCTGTGATTCTGTTCCTGTTCCAGTTGTTGGTTTAGTTTTTGTTTTTTAGGTTTGGTTGTTGATAGTTGTGAATTTCTTGTCATTTTACTGTTCATAGTTTTTGATATTCTTCTATTTCTTAGATAAGTCCCTTTAACATTTCATATAATAAAGGCTTGGTGACGATGAACTCCTTTAACTTTACCTTATCTGGGAAGCACTTTATCTGCCCTTCCATTCTAAATGATAGCTTTGCTGTACAGAGTAATTTTGTATGTAGGCTCTTGCCCTTCATGACTTGGAATACTTCTTTCCAGTCTTTTCTTGCCTTTAAGGTTTCTTTTGAGAAATCAGCCAATAGTCTTATGGGAACTCCTTCGTAGGTAACTCTCTCCTTTTCTCTTGATGTTTTTAAGATTCTCTCATCTTTAATCATGGGCAACTTAATTATTATGTGTCTTGGTGTGTTCCTCCTGGGGTCCAACTTCTTTGGGACTCTCTGGGCTTTGAGACAAAGAAATGTGGCCCAAGTGAAAGAACAGAGCAAAACTTCAGAAAAAGAACTAAGCAATGAGGAGATCAACAACCTATAAGATGCAGAGTTCAAAACACTGGTAATCAGGATGCTCACAGAACTCATTGAGCTCAGTCACAAAATTAAGGAAGAAACAAAGGTTATACAAAGTGAAATAAAGCAAAATATACAGGTAATCAACAGTGAAGGGAAGGAAACCGAGGCTCAGATCAATAATTTGGAACAAAAGGAAGAAACAAACATCCAACCAGAACAGAATGAAGAAGTAAGAATTCAAAAAATGAGGAGAGGCTTAGGAACCTCTGGGACAACTTTAAACACTCCAACATCCGAATCATAGGGGTACCAGAAGGAGAAGAGGAAGTGCAAGAAATTGAAAACTTATCTGAACAAATAATGAAGGAAAACAGCCCTAATCTGGTGAAGGAAATAGACTTCCAGAAAGTCCAGGAAGCCCAGAGAGTCTTCACTTGCTCTCTTAATATATGAGCTTCCCTCTGATCAAGCAGCCCAAGGGGTTGGCGAATGAATATAGGACTCCAAGCAAGACAACATAAGTGCGCTCTTGGTGTCTTCTGAAGTAAGTCTTACTATATCAACGCCAGTGCTCAGGAAGCTGTCTTGTCCCTAGTTGGGAATCCATTGGGCACTTCCAGTCCAAAGGGAGTCATGGGTGCACATCTGAGAGGTGCCATTTACACAGACCTACAAAAGTATTGTGAAACATTGCAAGCAGGTGGCAGCAAAGTTCCTTCTTCAAAAGGAATCTGCACATCAGACCAATTCTCCAGAAGGAAGGAATGTCTTTTTTTGGATTCAAATAAGCAAGCGATGAAGCAGAAGTTTGGTGAAAGATTAGTAATGGTGTGAGCCTTCTCAGAGGCTGTGGTGCTTCTGCAAGAAATCTCTGTAAACAGGGCCTCAGCATTTTGTAGATGAGAGCTGGTAAACCCTCGCACTGTGATGTGTCACACAACCCTGGCTTCCTGACTACATCAAGAACTGACTTTTGTTAAGGTGTGAGCCCAGAGGTGACTTTTTAAATTTAGAACACACCTCTTGTCCTACCTATCTAAATTCAAAAGTACACCAATACTCTCTGTACTGCTATTCATCTTGATTTGGTTGTAGCACTTTTAAAAAAATCAAACCAAAGCAAGGAAGCCAAGTGCTATGATGACACAGTGCTTGCCTTTTTCTTTTTTTGTTTTTGCACACACCAGGCTTTTTCCACACCCTGTCTTTGGTGTCCAGACCATGTCCAGAAGTGATCCCTTTTGACTTCTCCTTTTATTGAAGTCCTGTTCATCCTTCAAGACTGCTGAAGTGTGATTCCCAAGCAGCCCTTTCCCGACTCCCTTGCTCTTAGCATGTTCCTCCATCACAGCAGGTTTTGGATAGGTTTCTCCAACAGTCACATCTAAAAATTTCTAACAGACCACAGCAAGATGCATATCACTGAGGCTGGAGAAGGGGTACTCTTAGAGAATGTTCTGAGCCCTCCCCTGCTTCAGCCTATCAGAATCATGAAATGTCTTGGAAATTGCAAAAATTTTAGTAAAATTTCACAGCCTATATTCTAAGATATACTTATGCTTGACTTCACCTAAAATGCCAGTTATTTAATGTTTTGCTTCCTGATCTCGAAACTATGCTATTGTTCTGGGAAGTTGTACCTTTTATCCCCTGCACCCTGGTCCACTCCTGTAGAGCAGCAATGGCTGGACATCCCTGTGGTCTGACGGTCAGACTCCCCAAGGACACAGTCCTGGAGGGCAGGGCCTAATTCTTGTTCAGGGTTCCATGTCTTTAGCTGACTCTGTCCTAAGTCTTCACACAGTCAACACCTTCTGCTCACTCAAATCCAAGCCTAAGTGTTATTGCCTTGGACTACCCCATCTAAAGCAGCCCGCATGTCCTCTGCTTAGGTGAGCCCTTCCCCTCACCTACATCACTCCAAGCACTGTCCTCACTTGGTCAGAGCATCTGGGCACAGGGCACCAGGATGTGTGCACTCACTGAATACAAAGCAAACATCTCCAGGCTGTGGAGCTGAAGCAAATGCTCAGCCACCTTGTCTTCTGAACCCACAGACAATAGTGAGTGAGATGTCCTCAGCATAGAGAAAACTGACAACTGGACACCTTCACCTCTCCCTACCTGCACCCTTCAGTGAAGTGCACCCCCTCCCCCACTGCTGTCCCTGCCTCAGGGAGCCTTGGTCCCCCATGAACTCATGATGTCCTTGGCTGCTTGGCTTCAGTTGTGGCATATAATATGAGGTGGAGCCGTACAGCTGCAGAGACACTGTGCAGGACAAACAGGGTTCTGTGAGCAGGGGCAGGCCCATGCATTGTGCCTGCTTGGTTGGCGGCAGCTGTGGTCCCATTGTGATTACCACACATCATTTCCTGCCGTAGGGCCCACAGCCTGGAAGGCTGTGCCCCAGCTTCCCTATTCCTCAATAGGAGAGACTTGGACCAAATAATGTTTGATTTTTATTTACTATCTGAACATGAATTTTTTCTCTCCCTGCTAAACACCATGAGAAATGGGAGGTGTGATGGTTAATTTTACATGTCAACTTGTCTGGGCTGTGATGCCCAGCTGTATGATTGTGCACCAGTCTAATGTTACTGTGAAGGTGCTTTACAGACGTGATTAACTCTTAAATCAGTGAACTTTGAATAAAGTGAATGGTTTGCCAAATGTGGGTGGGCCTCATCTAATCAGTCAGGGGCCTTACGAGCAAAGCCTGAGGTTTTCCCAAGTAGAAGAAATTCTTCCCAAGACTGCAAGTGAAAAGCCCTGCCCGAGTGCCCAGTCTGCTGCTCTAAGACATTCAGATTCAAGGCTGAAACATCAGCTGTGACCTGAGTCTGCAGTCCGTACCTCTGTCCTGTGGGCTTCAGGCATGCCAGCCCCCCAGCTTCGTGAGCCAATTCCTCACTACAAATCTCTCTCTCTCTCTGTTTCTCTAGAAAGAAATTCAAATACCCAGGAAACGTTTATTTTTTATGTCATGATTGGTGCTAAGTGTTAAAGTCTTGAATGGCCTGTTGACTGAGACTGTAAACTAATTTCTAAGAATCACTGTGGACATACTTCTGAGATTTGGGTCTTCTCCTCCCACCTCATCAGAAAGGGAAATGGAATCTCAATGAGGGGCAGTGACTGACTGAGAACCAGAACCATAAAACAGGAGACTAGAAACCAAGCTCTGCCACTTTCTAACCTTTCTCTGAGGACTGGGAGTACAGGTGAGGGAGAGGCCAGACAGTGGGAACAACAAAATCAGACTGGCTCAAATCTGTGGCCTGTGTACCACTCAGCAAAGATATGAACAAGTGTGAGAGGTGTCAGAGGAGTTTGCTGGAGGAAGAGGCCAAGTCACTAAAGGAAATGCACTCTTGAAGGAGGCACAGAAGGAAAAACTTCATAAAGTCACATCTGCCAGACTGCTTTGAATTTAAAGTAACTCAGCCTGTCACTTTAAATTCAGGCTGAAGGTGGGGAGTTGAGGGTTGGGGTGGGGAGGAGACCAAGGTCTAAACAACTGTAAGAGGCTGAAGTCACACAGCTGCTGAGGATCACAGGGAGGACACAGGCCTCCTAACCCTGCATCCATTGGGCGTGCATGGACGCCTGGCTGTCTCACTGGAGATACACCAGCACCGCTGCTCTGCACTCCTGCTAGCGAGGCTGTGTATGCCCAGCACTGCAAAGGTTTATCTTGCATGTCCTCTGTTTTCCCACCTTCAGAATTAACCACTGCTACCACAGTAGAAGGAGTTAGTAATACCGATACTCATAATTCCTGATCGGCCTTTCTCTTGACCCGGTCCAGAAGGCTGCTCAGACCACAGAGCAGCAGGGACAGCACTGGGCAATGGGATCCTAATCCTGGCTCAGCCACTAACTGTAGCCTGGGGTGGCCATTTAACGTTCTAGTTTCTTTGCTGGTGAGCTGACACAGGTGAATTTGAAGGTCAAATAAGCTTAAAGTTGTCAGTGTTTTTACAATTTCATGCTGTGTGATTTAACAAAGTTCTCATTCAAAGTGCTTGAGCTGGGACATTCCTTAACACCTGCACAATGCCCTATTGCCAAATGAACCATGAACTCCCTTCTTGAAGACACCAGCTGTTCCCATGGGCTCCATGGACACCTCTGCAGATGCCAGCTTGGCCTGTGCAGTTCCCCTGAGTCCCAGGAGCTCCGGGTGACCCACACAGCCTGGCACTTCATCCTTTGGGTCTCCCCTCCCCTGCCCCCAAAAGACTCCTATCCTGACCTGGCCCCCGAGGTAGGGTAATGAAGGGGAGGAACTGGAGAAGCAGAGAGGTTGCAGGGTTTACTAGCAAAAGGTCAGAGCACTCACTGCTGAGGAAGGACAAACAAATACACAAACAAACAAATCCAGAATGTGAACAGAGGGGATGAAGAAGGCAGGACCAGCCAGCTAGGAGAGGAATCTGGGGAGTGGGTGAATGTGGGAGCAGTGATGGAGATGGAAAAAGGATTTAAAGGCGTCCACTCTGAGTCACTCGTGGAACCTTCCCTGAGCTCTGATCATGAAAACCTAGTAAAGATTTAAGTTGCTTTTTAATTAATTCTTTGGTTCTTATTGTGCTAGGACTGTTGTGTCTCTATATGTAACTCTCTGTGGACAAGATAGCAAGTCACCCTGCTTTTATACAGGTTTTAGTTCAAATTTCTACCATTACCGCATTTGGGCCCCTTGGTTCCAACATGTACAGTGTCAACATAATTTTGTAAAAGTCTTCTGACCCATTCTTTCCACCACCGGAAGCTGCCACAGTGGCTCCAGCAGGGCTGTGAGGACCTTGCTCTGGGTTTTTGTTCCTCGTGATAGAATGTCACAGTTATTTTTAAGATGTATTGACCAGAGAAATGAAGTAGCAATAGAAACCATCTGACTGAAGGCCTAATTATGCCCTTGCCTTTTTAAAAAAGTTATGATTTCTTATCCAATATATCTTCTTAAAATAACACTTCCTGTGTTTCAGTCTCTTGCTCAGAACTCTTCAGTATCTTCATTGCCAAAAACAAAGCAAACAAAAAATAAAACAAGAACTCCAGAGCTTGGCAATTAGTCTTCCACTGAAGAGTTGAGAGTCTAACTCTAAATTATCTCTACAGCCTTCATTCTCTTCACATAGTGTGACTGCAGCTACAGTATGAAATATGATTACTCAGCAGACCACCTTAGTTTTTAAAAATTAGCATTCAATCTATTGACATAACACACTCAAAACCATCAACTTCAGTTCACATGACACATCTATTATTGAATTCGTGAGTATGGTGAATTTTAAAAATCACTTCTAAGGGGCCTTTGTCTTTGGTTCTGTTTATTAATGTAGTGAACTAAACTCCTTTAAAACTACTTTTGAAAATTTAACATATTTGATATCCCTTTAAAGTACCTCAACTAACCAACTGAACCTCGAGTTCTTAAGTAACTATTAATGAAATGAATTAAACTTACAAATATGGGGAGGCATAAGATATCTTAAATGTCAAAACAGTTTATCAATCAAGAAATTTTCTGTTGACAATCATAAACCTAGCACTGGCCAGGCAGCTCAGCTGGCGGAAGAGTTGCCCTGTTGTGCCAAGGCTGCACAGACACATGGCTGCACGTTCCAGGTTGGAACACATACCAATGAATGCATCAATAAGTAGAACAGAAAAGATCAATCCCTCTCTCCCTCTCTCTCTCCCTCTCTTCCTCTCTTTCTAAAAAATAATAAATCAATAAACAAATAAGAATCACAAGCTTAATTTACTCTTTAGACCAACTTTTTTTAACTCCACACTTACTTCACCAGATTATTTCACATAACATTATTAGTATGGGTTAGATTCTCTTAATATGTCTGCCCTTAATTATAAACCTTCCTAGAGCTAAAGGATGCTCACCCACCAAAGAAACAGTCTTGAAGATGGACAACTTCCCAAGCACTCTGAGGCTTGGTGCTCCAAGCCAGATTCAATAGTAGTTCCGTCAGTGCCCTCCTGATGGGGACCTCGGGGCTGTTGGGCCCCAGTACCAAGTTGCATTCCCTCAAGTCCTCTGCTTCCTCACGCAGGTCATCTGCACCCAGACCAGTCTGCTGCCCACTGACTGCGTTCCAGGGGTCTAGTTACTGCTCCATCCTCTTCTGCTCTCCGGAGGTCACATGTCATGAAGATATTCAAGGGACAGAGTTCTCTCCTGGCTTTATGTAGCTCTCTGGAGGGATGCCAGATTACAGGTCCCAAATGGGACAGATACTAAAAAATTAGCTATGTTCTTATTTGCTAAATCTGGCAAGTCTACTTCCCAGCCACAACTGGCTGGTTGTGCAGAGCACACCACTGATTATATGTGGCCGATGAGCCAGCCTCAGCAATGCCTGCACATTTCTCTCAGTTGTCCAGGATCCAAATCTTCGGCCCCTCTCACAGGAGTTACTCTCCTCACCCTCATTTCTGTGTGCCTAACCAGAATTTATTTTTAAAATTTCATGTATATTTGTTCACTCTATTTTTAAAAATGAAACATTCCTCCCTTCTGCAAAAAACAAAACAAAACAAACTACTTCCCTCCTATATAAGAAGAGACATAGTCCCATCCTCCCCCTTTAACAGACAAGTCACCTTATTACTGTCCTTGGCACCCAACCCAGCTGCAGTAAAGTCTGGGTTGATCTAGAAGGGAGTATACATCAGACTAGAATGTAGACTCCACATGGTAGAGGTCCGGTGGTGCCTCTCCACTCATTACTCCATGAACACCTAGCTGTTCACCCTGGGTCCGGCGCCAAGAGGACGCAAAGCATTTGCTTAAATAATCACATGAGTCCAGATTCAGTGATAGAGGGGAAGGAAAAGGAAGCTTGCTTTGCAGTATCCCAGGGAGAAGGGACTGTTCCTGACCTGGCATGATGGTCTTCTTGCACTCCTGGCACTTGGAAGAGTACTCGTGGGAGTAGCAGTCTGTGCAGAGTAGCTGGTCCTCCTTGGCAGCGAAGGGCTTGTCCACCAGCGAGCTCTTGCACCGTGAGCAGTGGAAACAGGCCTCATGCCAGTGTCGGTCCTTATAGGACAAGTCCTGCAGACCCAGACACATGAGACTGTCAGAGGGCAGAAGGACTCAGGGCTGCCCTGCCTGAGCACTGTAGTGGGGCATGGCGCAAACTTGCAACATAAACAGGGAGTACAGAGGGGCTGAGGCCTCTGGGCATTCCTGGACTGTGATCTTCACCTAATGCTGAAATGAGTAGGGTTGGGATGCTTTTCTCTCACTACATTTGGAGCAATCACTTACACAGGGGTGGGTGTGTATGTGAGGGGGATTTCCATCAGGTATCATCTATAAGGAAGAAACAGAAAACATGAAAGTCATCAACGCTTCTTACTCAACAGTCATTTGGATCTGTAGGAGTTCTTGGACCACGAGGGAGCTTCGCAAAACCAGCCATGGCAGCAGGATCGCTGTGATGACCAGCAGGAGAGGGAAGCCCTGGGTGCAGGGAAATTCAAGAAAGGAGACCCAGCATAGGGCCCTGGTTTCTCCTGTGGCAAGTGAGTCAGGAGACTTCACATGGCATACCACCAACTGAGTGTGGAAGCTCCTCAGAGGGCAGTGAGCTGGGCAGAGGGCTGGAGAGGGAATTCCAGGCAGAAAAAGGCATGTGCATGGATGGGGAGCAAGAGGGGGTTGTTTGGTGGAGGAGGGTGTTGGGCCCATTCATCTCTATGAATGCACTTGGCTGACAGAAGGGATGTGCCCTGTGCAGCTCCCTCTCATGCCAGTCCTGTCTGAGGCTTGCTTTTCACGACTCCTGGGAGTAGACCCTGGCCGATGCAAGACATTAAGGAATAAAAATGAGACAAGGATAGAATCTCCTCAGTGCAGGACTTCATGGACTGGTTTCTGTGTGGCTGATCCTGCCCTGAGTCTCAGCAGCCCTGGTATCGGGGACGCCCCGAGTTGGACACTGTGTCTTGGAGGACCACAGAGAGCACACTGAAATACCTGTTCCTCTTTATCCTTTGTGAATCCAAATTGAGGGGTGTATGAGCTGGGGGCAGAGGATTGTCCTGTCTCTTGAATTTCTAGCTTTAATAATTTTCACAAAGTTTGAGGAAAAAAATCACCTGCACTTTACTGGTTATTCTGACAAATGAAATAAGGTAGACACTATATTAATTTGTGTTAATGACTATATGCAGTCTCATTACAAACTGCGAAGTCCATACTTCCCTCCTTCCAAAAGAATTCATTACTTTTCTCTTTCTGGGATACCAGGAACGATGATTATGACCATATTATGAGGTCAAGACTGTACCAGCCTGCAAGGTAAATATTATTACTGATGCTCAGAGAAGTTCAGTTACTTGTTCACAGCCATGCAGTTGGCATGTCACTGAGCCAGGGTTCAAGCACGAGTCCTTCTGATTCAAAAGATATTTCCAGTGAGCATACCAGGTAAAATCCCAGTAGACTCTGTGTTGCTCTTTGCTTTCAAAAACAACCCTTAGCAAGAGCTGTGTATATCCACTGAAAAAAATCGGAAACACTATCATGTTCATAGCCAAATGAATGCAACTTAGCATTGCCTTGGTTTAGACTCTGAATGAAATAGAACAAACCCTTTACAGCACTGTCCAGTACAAACAGGAATAGCCTAATTTAAGAAGAGCTGGAGTTTTGATCAAGCTGTCACTGTTGTCAAGCTGACTGTGGAATAAATGTCTTTAAAAATTCTTGGAATGGAAAACAGTATGGCAGTTCCTCAAAGAATTAAAAATAGAACTACCATATGATCCCGCAACCCCACTGCTGGATGCACGCCCACAGGAATGAAAGCAGGAGTCTACAGGCTGTGTTCACAGTAACGTTATTCACAACAACCAAAGTGGGAGCCGCCCAACTGTCTCCTGATGGGTGAATAGATAAACAAAATGTGCAAACCTACACTGCACTGTTACTCGGGAAAGAAAGGAAATTCTGAAACATACTACACCGTGGGTGCACCTTAGTCCCTACACAAAAAGACAACTACTGCATGATTCCACTTACATGAGATCCTTAAAGCAGCCAGATTCGTAGGGACAGAAGGCAGAGTGGTGGCTGCCAGGGGCAGGGGGCAGAGGGAAGGAAGAGTCGTTGTTTAATGGGTACAGTTGCAGTTTGGGAAGATGAACAGTTCTGGAGATCTGCTGCCCAACAGTGTGAATGTACTTAACATTGCAGAAATGTACACTTTAAAAGGGTTAAGATGGCACATTTTACATTATATGCATTTTACCACAAAAATTAAATATTAAGTTTTGATTGTTACGTAGCAGGTGAAAAACACTTTTTCAGATGTTAGCTGGGTTCCATCTGTGCAGACCAGTCACCTCATAAAGTCTTGCTACTGTGGAAAAGCTGCAAAATGTTCTCCGGGTTCCATGAATCACCGCCCACCTTCGATGAGACACACAGAGGGGCGGTGAGGGGAGAAGGCAGTCAGAGGCCTACTCTGGAAGGTGGTCTAGTATTGCCCAGGGAGTCAGCAGCACAGTTGGGGGCTACAAGTCGTTAGTGAGAAGTGAAGGAAAGGAAATACAAGGTTAAGGGCATTTTCCTGATGGAGCTGACCTTAAGAAAAACTGAGAGAGAAACCTCCCCAGAGGGCATTGTGAGAGCAAAGCTATCATCACAGTCTCTGCCCTGGTTAGCGAGTCCCCAGATGAGGAAAAAGCATCCAAATGGTGAATGTGACTGAACAGTCACAATAAAGCTAATTTTAAACTGTTCACACAATTCAAAAGCACTGCAGAAATCCATCTTTTCTACGGTCAGCATTTCTGGCATGAAAACACAATAGCTACTGTTTAAGGCTGATTTGCTGACATAGACATTTGACACTAGGAAGTGTCCCCCTAAATTTGGATACTAATGACAAGCCCTTACTATATTGTAAGCATCCATGCAAGACTTCCATACTTCTAAAGGCCACGCTTCCTGTGCTCACTCGTGCTCTCTTGGTCTCCAGTTCCCCAGGGAACTGCTGCCTTTCTCAAAATGACCTGATTTACTAAACCCAAGAGTGGTACAGCCATCTCTGCTTGGCTTCAGCTTGAGAAGCTGACTTGTGCTTCAGGCTGGCAGAAAGCAAATGCCTGGAAGTGCTTCCCGTCCTGCCCTCCCCCTTCTGAAGATGCTTTTCCAGTTGACCAGTGTTGGGCTTTTGAAGCATTCCTTTCCCAGGGCCACTGCAACACACCTGCACAATGCCCCTGTGTGTGTGTGCGCACACGCACACACACACACACACACACACACACACACCTCTTTCTGCATTTACACAAAACAGTTCCTGAATTGTTCATTCAAGGATGTTGGATAGTCTTCAAAACATTCTGACAAAATATTTCCTCTGAAAAATGAATATCAAACTATGACCATGCTCTTAAATTTCATGATATGCAATAAATAAAAATAATCTTTAAATAAGCTTGCATCACTGTTGGTGGTGGGTCCTCAGTAGGAATATGACGGGCTCACCCCTCTTCCAGCTGCAGACACTGGTCAACTTCCCAGGCCCACAACATCTGAGTGGCTGCTGCAGGCAGGCAGTGGTGCAGCCCAGTCACACACTCGGCATCTGCTGTAACATGAGTGCCCCCTGGAGGCCAGGTGTCTAAAACACCTGATGTATTTCATTCTACTGCCTGAACTCAAGGCTCCAGATTCTGGCTACAAAGACTGAATAAGTTAATGCATTATTACATGTAAAGCATTTTAACACATAGCAGTTATACAGGAAAGCAGATACACCAGTCATATATAACTTGGCTTACTGTAATTGCTCAATTAACATTAGTATTATCTTTTATTCAGATCATAGCTACTGATGAAAACAGTTGCCTCAAACCATCGCTGGCTGAAATTACATGTACTCACAAAAATAGTAACATGGATTAAAATTTCCTGCACCTTAAATCTCCCATGCTAATAACTATGATTCCACTTTCATATAGTGCTTTTAACTTCCTCAGCTCTTTTAAGTCTAAAATTCTTTTTCTTAATCCCTTTTTATATACTTTGAGCCATACAATACCCTATGATATAAGGTTTTATTCTTATTTTATACATGAGCAAATTTACATTAACGATGTTAAAAAACCATGAACTACCTTTTATACAACATTCAGCCTTCAATGATCTAACAGAACCAGGTGCATATTTTTCTCATAGTCTTCGCCTGGCATGGCAGCATCTTTACAAGCTGGTCCTAACCTGTCTGCCCAGCCTTGACCTCTGATGTAGTGCCCCATTCACCCCTCCATGACCTTGCCCAGGCTGGCCCTTGCCTTGGAAGGCCCTTCCCCCTCCTCTTTCCCAACAAGCAAAAACCCCTCTGCTGTGAGGCCCAGCTCAAATACCACATGCTCGGTGGAGGGGCCCCAGCCCAAAGCAACAGCGGCTGAAGGGAAGGAAGTGCTGCACCACTCCCAGCTAATACAGTACTCTGAAGACCCAATGTAGTACACCTCCTTCAACATCATTATCTGGTCAGTGACACTCTCAGACTTCTCTGTGATTGTCCTTCATAGGCTCTCAATTTGTGCTCTTTTTAGAAGGCTTAAGTTAATAAATACATGTCACAGCCTCCTCCTGACTCACTTCTTAAGAAAGTCTACAACATGTAGGAGGTGAGAAAAGACTTCATGGCAAGAGTAAATACCACCAGCTTTGTCTTTTCAGGGTAGGCAGAGGCTTCTGGCCAACACAACATTTTCCTCAGCATCTCACTGAGAGGCAAGATTTTAGGTATATGATTCCCTGCAGCTGACAGGTAGACTGGAAATACCACAGAAAGGCCAAGAGGCTAGGTAAACCGAGTAGACTCATGTGCCTGAACTGAACTTCAGATCGCACTCTGAAGGTTTATTAGTAGACACAGTGGCCCTTTTGCTCTGTAGTGTTCTCAGCTCCACAGAGTTTTACTTTTGGTTCTGACTGAGATGACCTCGTCTGGTCTTGTCAATACTGTTACATATGGAGCACACTGTGAGATCCCCAAAAGTGAGTGCAATAGAAATATTACTTTGATG